GAGGGGCTGGAGGTGGGGAGGGCAGCTGGAGTGGGCTGGAGTGGGATGAATGGCAGTCGGGTGGTTCCTGAATCATCCCCTCACGCCAAGCGCTCCCCACCCATCGCACAGGCGGCGGCCATCCCGCTGCCCATGGTCAAGTCGCTGCTGGGCCCCTACCTGGTCTTCCTCTGCTCCACCGTGAATGGGTATGAAGGCACGGGCCGCTCTCTGTCCCTCAAGCTCATCCACCAGCTGCGACAACAGGTAGGGCATGGCAAAGGGGGGGGTTGGGGGGGTTGATCTGTGCAGGGTTGTGCACAGCGCCAGGCATGGTCTCTTGCTGGGTGACAACAGCTTGCAGAAACCTGCCAGCACACTGCCCGGGACGGGTGCCATCCCATGCCGCGGGGCGTCTCACCCATTGCCCCCTCTTCCCACCCCAGGGCGCCAAGGTGGAGGGCAAGGCGCCCTCGGCCGAGGACGGCAGCGGGGGCCGCACCTTCCGCGAGGTCATCCTGCGCGACCCAATCCGCTACGCCTCGGGCGACGAGGTGGAGAAGTGGCTGAACGGCCTGCTGTGCCTGGACGCCGCCGAGCACATCCCCAAGCCGCCAGGTGATGGCGGGAAGGCAGTGCCTGGTGATGGGCCGGCAGGCCTGGGGGGTGGGTGTGTCGTGCACCCCTCAAACCTGCTTCTCTGTGCCGCACCCTTGCTCTTCCCACCCCTTGCCCTGCATGCCTGCATCCCGTTCCAGCACCACCCAGGTTGATGTCCACTTCCTGGTCCCTCCCCTCCATCCCACCCCTCATACCCTCCCTTTCCCCCTGCGCCCCGCCCTGCCGCGCCCCCCCAGCCCGCCTGCCCCACCCCGACGACTGCCAGCTGTACTACGTGGAGCGCGACACGCTCTTCTCCTTCCACGCCGCCTCGGAGACCTTCCTGCAGCGCATGATGTCGCTCTACGTGGCCTCCCACTACAAGAACTCGCCCAACGACCTGCTGCTCATGGCCGACGCCCCTGCCCACCACCTCTTCGTCCTGCTGGGCCCCGTGGCCCCCGACGCGCGCGCCCTGCCCGACGTCCTCGCCGTGGTCCAGGTGGCGCTGGAGGGCGCCATCTCGGCGCGCAGCGCGCGCGCCTCGCTGGCCGCCGGGCAGCTGCCACAGGGCGACCTCATCCCCTGGACGGTGGGCCAGCAGTTCCAGGACGCCGACTTCCCCGCGCTGTCGGGCGCGCGCGTGGTGCGCATCGCCACGCACCCCGAGGTGGTGCGAGCGGGCTACGGCTCGCGCGCCATGGACCTCCTGCGCCAGTACTACGAGGGCGGCCTGGCCGAGCTGGCCAGCGACGACGAGGGGGGGGCCGGCGGGGGTGCCGGCGGCGGGGCCGCCTCAAGCAGGGCGGCGGCGGGCGACCGGGCCGCGCAAGGTAGGGGTTGGGGGCCGTGGGCGGGGGCGAGGCGGGTGGGAGCCGGTGCCTGCGCTGGGTGTGGAGGTTTGAAGAGCTGGGCCCCAGGAAGGTGGGGGACGGATGCCATGGGCCCGGGGCCGGAGGTGCAGGGCGCTCCTGGATCTCGTGTTTCACCCACACAACCCCGTGCTCTGTCCTCCCTCCATGCCCTTCAACCACCCCCTCCATGCCCTCAACAACCTCGCCCCCCCCACATCATCACCAACCAGCAGCCGGGTCGCTGCTGGAGGAAAAGCTGGCGCCGCGCGCCAGCCTGCCCCCGCTGCTGGTCGCTTTGCAGGACCGGCCCGCCGAGTCGCTGCACTACCTGGGAGTTTCCTGCGGCGTGACGCAGGAGCTGTTCAGCTTCTGGCGCCGCGCGGGCTACCGCCCCGTCTACATCCGGCAGACGCCCAGCGACGCGACCGGCGAGCACACGGTGATCATGCTGCGCACGCTGCGCTCGCAGGACCTCGCCTCCGACGCCTGGCTGGACCCCTTCGTGGCCGACTTCCGGTCGCGCTTCGCGGCCCTGCTCCCCGCCGCCTTCCGCGCCTTCCCCCCCGCCCTGGCGCTGTCCGTGCTGGACCCGCGCCTGGCCTGGAGCGAGGCCGAGGTCCAGGCCGGGGTCCAGGGGGGGCTGGCCCTGGCCAAGCTGGACGGGGGGGAGCTGTCGCCCCACGACCTCAAGCGCCTGCAGGCCTACTCGGCCAACCTGGTGGACCACCACCTGATCCTGGACCTGGTGCCGCCGCTGGCGGGGGCATACTTTGCAGGGCGACTCCCCGCCACGCTGTCCTACACCCAGGCCGCCATCCTGCTCAGCCTGGGCCTGCAGCGCCTTGACATTGCTCAAGTAGAGGAGGCGCTGGGCCTGCCAGCCTCCCAGACCCTGGCGCTGTTCAACAAGGCGCTGCGACGCCTGCACGCCCACCTTCGCGCCGCGAAGGAAGCCGCCGTGGAGAGGTGCGTGGAGGGTGTTTTTGGGCGGGGGAGCTGTGTGGAGAACTGGGCGGATGGAGTCTGTGGGGTAGACAGGGCGTGCTGGAAGGCACGGCGTTGTGGGTCGGTAGGGGGTTGCTTTGGCTGGGGGTCTTCCCCCTCGCTGTTTTTGGGCCTTCTGCATTCAACCCTGCCTGGGGGACCCTGCCGCTCGGAGGAATCGACCCTTCCAAAAGACCCCCACATCAATACGCCGCATCGTCCACCCACTCATTCCCTCCAAACCCATTTCGAGCAGGACGCTGCCGGCGCCCAAGCCGCTGGCCCTGCTGCCGCACGCCCAGGACCTGGATGCTGAGCTGGACGAGGCGGCGGCTGCCGTGCGCGCCAGCAGTGCGCCCACCTTCCGGCCCGAGGACGTGGAGGAGTACGCCATCCGCTTTGGGGATGCGGACTTGGAGGAGGCCGTGGGCGCCGGCGTGCGGCCAGGGCTGGTGAGCGTGAAGGTCGACGGCGAGAAGGTGGGTGAAGGGAGCCTTGGGTGGAAAGGGCAGCGTAGATCAAGGTGGTGCCAGGTGCTCGTCCCTACCTAGGTGCATGGCAAGGCGCCTGACAAGACCCCCCCTCCCCCCCCATGCACAAACAAAACCAGACACCCAAGAAGAAGCGGGAGGGAGGCAAGACACCCTCCAGCCGGTCCGGCATCAAGTCGGGGGGGAAGCGGAATGGGACCCCTGGCGGACCCAAGTCGCACAAGAAGCAAAAGACGCCAGCCTGATGGGCCAGGTGCACCTTCCCTTGCCCACGCGTACGAGAACTAGGCTGCCTGCCAGACCACTGCATCAGCTTACAGTTTGGAGTCCTGGTGCTTCTGCCTGCCAGCACTGGCCTCCGTCGTGTGTGTGCCATGAGTGTGCAGTGAGGCCGCAGCAGACGGCACCAGCAGGGGCAGGTGTGATTCAGGTCAGCAATTGGGCCAAGAGCCCACACCGGAGAATAACCCCACTCAGGCAGCCACAGTTCTACGCCTCCAGCTCCGCCATGAACTGGGCGTCGGTGCGCCGGTGGCCGCAGATGTTGCACTGTGCGACGGACGCGCTGTCCGGGCTCAGCGGGCACAGCGTGCCGCCACACTCCTCCTGCGGGCACACGAACTTGAGCAGGTACATCTGGACGTACGCCTCGTCCGCCCCGCCGCACCGCTCCGGATCCGGCTCCTGCCCCGCCTCCAGCGCGCCTTCAACCTGTTGGGCGGGGGGCAGTGCTGCGTGAGGTTATGTTAGACCATGTGCAGGGCGGCATGTCGGGGCGAGTGGGCGCACGCCCTGTCGGCCAGACAGGGGAACCGCATGCCGCCGCTCACCTTGCAGCGCGGGCATGCACAGGAGAAGCCGTACACCTCCCTGCAGCGGGATTGCCGCTCGTCGTACTCCCACCACAGGGGAAAGTAGCTCTGCGTCAGCTCCTCGCCTGAGGGGGAATGGAGGGCTGTGGACTCGGACGCTCTCCCACCCATTGCCCAATAGGCGCCACTTGCCAAGGACCCCCCACCTCCCAAACCACCTGACCCACCAGCTGGGATGGCATGCAGGGCCCGGAACGTGATGCCCGTGTTTGACCCCAGGTCGCCATCTGCCCGGGCCTCGTCAAAGGCATCCTGGCGGGCGAGGTTGGGCAGGCACTCGTGGTTGAGGCGGGAGCCAGTTGCGCAGAGCGCAGACCCCCTGATGGGCCCGTCCGCGACCCCGGGTTCCAGCGCGATGCCGTAGGCGTTGGAACCGTCGCGCTCCAGCACCGCTCTGACCTCCTCCAGGGTCAAGCCCGCGCCGTCCCCGGGCAGCCTGGCCCGCAGGGCGGCGGCGGCGTCCTCTGGCTGGGGGCAGCCCGGCGAGAGGGAGGTCAGGGCCTGCAGCCGGGCGGTGGACCCCGTGTCCCCGGCGGCTGCGGCGGCCTTCAAGGTCGCGACGCGCAGGAGGAGCAGCAGCGCCGACGCCTCCTCCTCGCCCAGACCCTCGAACCGGGTCTCCGCTTCCGCTGCAGCGACGGCGGGGTTGTGGCTGCCGGGATCTCGAGCCGCCGCTTGGGCGCAGGCCGAGGAGCAGAAGCTGGCCCAGGAACTGGAGGATGCCCCTGTGGTTGTGAACAGATGGATGTGTCCATCTGCACGTCATGGGGCAGGTGAACCCCACCACATCCAGTCATGCAAGGAGGTGCGCACCGTCGGAAGGCAACCGCCTCAGGCAGTGGAGGCAGACCTCGTATCTCAGGGAGAATTGTGGGTACAGGACGAGGGGGTAGTCGGTTAGTACTGCCTCCCCAGCAGCAATGTCGCGGGTCGCCACCAGCCCGAGGCCACGGCCTGGGACAGGCTTCTCCTCATAGCACTGCATATCCCATATACAACAAGACTGATTCCTTTGATCCGCCTCCGTCCCAGCATCAATCCAGATGAAGGTGTGGACTGGATGGCAAGGCGGAGCAGGTCCACGCCCGCGCCCTGGAGGAGGCACGTGATGTTTCCGGAAGTGGGTTGTCTGGGGAAGACTCTGGAAACCTGGTGTGGGACAAAACTTGAGAGCGCAGCAGACCCGATACATACATATAAAAACTTACTAATCGCAGAATCACAGCAACTGCATTTGAGGAGCTGCATCGACGATGTCTGACATCCTGAACGATCACGACATGGACGGTGTGTATAGTACTGTGGGATGGCCTTGATGCTAGTGCGGATGCGGACCTACCGATGAGCAATCGGTGTGATGTTATGATGCGGGTGATCTGCCATGCGGTGTGCAGGCGACCTGGCGTTGGAGGACGAGTTTGCTGAGGCCGTGGACGAAGTCGGAAAGGAGATTGATGTCTCGGTGGGTGCTTTCCGCTGAGTTGGGGGGGTGTACTTGTGGCTTATGCCTGTCCATTATGGGCATCAGCCAGCATCGCCCATGTACCTCGGTATCCGCAGAAGGACGGCGGTGTGCGCAAGATCATCAAGAAGGTTGGGGCCGGCTACGAGGTCCCAGAGAAGGGCGACAAAGTCACAGGTCTGTTTGGCTTAGGGTGATGAGGAAGATTACTTCCAGAAGGTTCCCACCTTTTGCAGCGATGATTCTTGTGTTACTAAATGGTCTGAAGTAAGTCTCTGGCTCTTGTGTATGGTAAAGGGCTCATCTCTGGCACACTGATAAGCGACATCTTCATCTGATAACCCTTTGCAGTGCACTACACTGGGACTCTGGAAGACGGCACAAAGTTTGACTCTTCTCGGGACAGGGACGACCCCTTCACCTTCACCCTTGGCCAAGGTGCGGGGGTGCTGGGTGAAGATTCTGTTCGAGCCCCTTTCGGACTGTCGAAGTCGCGACAACTAGCCACTTGCAGGCTGCCAGTTGCTCCATGCACTTCACACTTGGCGAGCCGGTACATTTTGCAGGCCAGGTCATCAAGGGATGGGATCTGTCCGTGGCAACCATGAAGAAAGGGGAGGTAAGCATGCAACGTCTCAGAGAGTGTGTGGTCCTGATGGGCCTGATAGGGTTTCTCATGAATTCAGGAAGGGCAACAATCCAGCACCTGCTGCCTGTTGCCCAAAGCCGACGCCCCCATCCTTCCCCCTCCGTACAAACAGTCGGCCACCGTGATCATCCGCGGGGATTATGGCTACGGAGCAGCCGGCAGCCCCCCCAAGATCCCGGCGAATGCTACCCTCCACTTTGATATCGAGCTGCTGAGCTGGCGGAGTGACAAGGACCTCACCGGTGCGTTGGGTGGCAGGGAAGCCTGTATCGTGATAGAGCCAGGCTGCACAGGCTTCCTTTCAATGGGTGAAGATGGATCAACATATGATAGGAGGTGACATGCATAGGTTTTATCATTCCAGAAGGGCAGTAATCTGTTTTTCAGCAATCCTCGCTGCTCAACCCCTCCCCTACACCAATCATCCACCTCCTGCAGGTGACGGCGGGGTGATCAAGACCATCCTGGCCGAGGGCAAGGGCTGGGCCAACCCCGGGAAGGATGACGTCATCACGCTGGAGCTCAAGGCCACGTCTCTGGAGGGCACCGACACGGTGTACACCTCCCCCGAGGGCGGCTACCAAGTGACCCTGGCGTCCGGGGGCGCGGACGCTCCCTTCTTCTGCCGCGCCCTGGAAGTGGCACTGCCCGAGATGAAGAAGGGGGAGCGAGCCACACTGGTGGTGAAGCCGCAGTACGGCCCGGTGCAGGGCCCTGGGGCGGGCGAGGCGCTGGAGATCGAGGTCACCCTGGTGGACTGGCAGAAGGTGGAGCGGCTGCCGGGGGGCGTGGTGAAGCGGACCCTGGTGTCCACCGACGAGTGGCAGACGCCCAACGAAGGTGGGGCGCTGCGGTGGGCGTTGCAGGGAGGTTGACGGGTGTGTCTCGTGCAAGATGGTAGGGGTTGGGCCGGTGAAGGAGTGGTGCTTGAGTGGGTGAAGCAAAGGGCGATACACGACAGCCGCAGCCTCGCAAGCTCCGCCACTGATTTCCTACATCCCTCTGCACCAGGCGCGACTGTGACCCTGGCCTACACGGCGCGCCTGGCCGTCGATGGCACGGTTTTTGACGAGCGGACCACTGAGAGCCCGCTTGTCGTCGAGACGGACGCAGGTGAGGGCATGTGGCTCTTTTGTCCTTGGTGTGGTGATGTGTAGGACCAGGGGCCACATCAGCGCATAGCACTACGCCGCTGTGGATCATAACCGTCAAGCTCATGGGCACTGATCACCCCCTCCGCTCATCTGACAGATGCCCTGCCAGAGGGGCTGGAGGCCGCGGTCATGAAGATGAAGAAGGGCGAGAAGTGCGTTGTGATGGTGCCGGCGGCGCTGGCGTATGGATCAGAGGTGAGCTCCTCCTGCTGGAGGTTGCAGAGAGGTCGGCTGGGGCCGCATCTCTGCAATGCAGTACCTTTGGTATGACCAGGAGTATGCTGGCGGGCAGTGCAAATGACTTTCACAACCATTGCCTCACCCCAACAGGGCTCCGACCAGCCGATGGCGAGGGTCCCCGCCGACGTCGATGTGGAGTATGAAGTCACGCTGGTGGACCACAAGCAGGTGGGCTGAAACTGTATTCGAGCATTATTGCAGGGTCAGAAAGTGTGGTCTGGGTGACTGGCAATTGCCACCATCATGTCATTGGTGGCACGGATTGTGTGAGTGCGCGCATGGGGTTGCAGCGGGTCAAACAGCCCCCCTCATTGCCAACCCCTGCCGTCAGATACTTGCTGCACAACCCCTACTGGGATGCCTGCATGGTCCTTCCTCTGTTTCTCCGGGCTCCAGATACCCTTGCCAAATCTTCTCTCCACTGGTAAAACCCCTTCCACACAGGCCAAGGGCTCCTGGGAGATGTCCACGCCCGAGAAGATTGCGGCGGCCATCGCCCGCAAGGAGAAGGGGAATGCGTACTTCAAGGCCGGGAGGGTGGGACGTGCGGTGCGCCAATGGAACCAGGCCGAGGAGATCATCAAGTGAGGGGGAGGAGGAGGCGAGGGATGGGTCAGGTTGGTATGGGGCCCAGGTACTTTGGGTGAAGATGATTTTTTCCTCAGTGACATGGGACAGGCCAATCATGAATTCTTGTCAGCTCAGCACACCCGCAGCAATGACAATTGGGTCCCTCCCAAACCTACACTGTTACCCCAGCCTTCACCTTTCCCCTCCCATCCAACCCTGCTCAGGTATGACGACGCCTTCAGCGCCGAGGAGAAGGAGGAGTCGCGCGCCGTGAAGAAGTCGGTGCAGCTGAATCTGGCTGCCGCGCACTTGAAGGAGGGGTCCTGGACGGAAGCGCGCAAGGCCGCCACCTCGGTCCTGGACCACGACAGCTTCAACCTGAAGGGCCTGTTCCGCAGGGCGCAGGCCTACCTCGGCACCTTTGACTTTGTGGAGGCGGAGCAGGACATCAAGAAGGGCCTGGGAGTGGTGAGCGGTCGGATCTTGAGATGGAAAGGGTGTGTGTGATGCATTTGGCATCCTTGCGGGCGCCTAGGATGCCTGCTCTCAGCCATTCACGGTTGACCACATCATAGCTGCTGGTTGACTGCTCAGCAGACTACTGACACGACTGTGCCTCATCAACACATTCAATCTGCTAGCCTCGTCCAAACCACCCCGCCCGCTGCCTCACAGGACCCAAACAACGCAGACTTCAATGCGCTGCACCGCAAGTGGAAGGTGGCTCAGGCGGCTGCCGGCAAAGCGGAGGCCAAGCTCTACAGCAAGATGTTCGCCCCGCGGCCCTCAGCCGCCCGCCCGCAGGCCGCAGAGGCAGCGCCGGCTGCTGAGGTGGCGCCAGCTTCAGAGCCCATTGCCGCTGTCTGAGCGATTTAGGCGAGCTGCTCGTGCTGCCACCCTTTTGGGGGAACCGCTGCTGCAGTGGACAGCAAGCAACAAGGAATTCACTCGATATAGATAACAGCATGACCGCCGCACTCATGGACGCCAGAGGCGTGCATGCACTCGGTCGTATGTGATCGTTCATTTTCTATCGTGAGTTGCGAAACAGAATTACAAACTTTGATGACACACATGGGTAGACAGGCCAGCAGGGGCAATTTGTCCAAGTGAAGCAGGGACTGCTGCAGGAGGGCTGGCGAGGGCAACCAGAGTCCTGTGAGAGGCAAGACCCCATTCCTCCCTCCTCGAGCGCAAGGCGGCCAGGCTGCGCATCAGGGTGCGTGCCTGCGTGGGCGTGGCCAGGGCCTCAGGCCTGGAAGATCCTGGGGTCCATGAGCTTGACATGGCGGACCACAGGCTCAAAGTCCATGTGTGCAAGGACATCACGCGCTATGTCCACGCCAGGCGCGACCTCCACCAGCTCCAGGCGACCCTCGCCCACTGCAGGAGGGTGGGAGGAGGAGGAGAGGGAGGAGGAGCTCGATGGGCATAGGAGGGGCAGGAGGCTCATGGCTGTTTGCTGTTGGGCAATGTGAAGGCATTCTCGTGCTTGGTTTCCAGTTGAACTCCCTTCGCGTTACCCCCCCCCAATATCGGCATAAGCCTGAGACATACACACCTAGGGGCCTAAAGACGGCACGCTCGGTGACATACAGCACGGGTCGTCCCTGGGAGAGCGCCGCCGCAAACGTCTTTTCCACGACAGCCTTGATGAATTTCCTGGTCCTGCCCTCCTGCAGGATCACCAGCTTGCCGCCCTGGATGCTCACCTGGCAAGGGGTTGGGTTTGGTTGGAGGGGTTGCAGTACATAGGGTGTTTATTTCCAAACCGGATCATGCAGCAGGGATACAGTTGCATACCCCGCCTGCTCCTCAGGTACTCGTTCCACCCACTCCCAACAGAGAACCCGCACCCACCTTGAGCCCGCCGGAGGTGAAGGTCCCCACAAACACGCACTTCTTGCTGGACTGGGAGATGTCAATGAAGCCGCCGCAGCCCGGCGCCCGCGTCCCAAAGTTATGCACGTTGACGTTCCCCGCCCCATCCACCTCTGCCATGCCCAGCACACACACGTCCACGCCACCCCCCGAGTAGAAGTCGATCATGGAGGCGGTGGGGACCAGGGCCTCGCAGTTGTACCCCGACCCGAAACGCAGGCCCCCCGCCGGGATCCCGCCAAACACGCCCGCCTCGGTGGTCAGCGTGGCCGTGGCACCGGCAGGGTTGTCGCGCCCATGGCTGGCCTTCAGCACGGCCACGCCCTGCGGTGGGGGTGGAGGTGCAGCATGGAGGTGCGAGGAGGAGGAAGGAGAGAATGGAAGGGGGGGAGGGGGCGGAGGGAGCCCAGATTCAGAGGGGGGTCCAGACCTCTTTGAGATGGGCTGAGGGGACCGCTCCTAAAGGGAGAGTCGTGCCTACGTTCACAGATAGTGCACCAACGCCCCGCATCCAACACACATGCATCACACCGCTGAATGTGCCCTCCACCCCTCACCTCGGGAATGCCGACGCCTAGATTGACCAGGCAGTGCAGGGTGTCTATTTCCAGGAAGGCTCGGTGCGCGATGATCTTGCGCTCGTTCATGGGCAGGCGGGCAATGGCATGCAGGGGCGCCCGAACCTCGCCGCTGTTGCAATGGGGAATGAGGGAGCAGGGCCGTGGCCAGCTCGGCAAGGGCCGCAGGAACAAACACGGTGTTCACAGCCAGCGCAGGCGCCTGATCTCATTCGTCCCTGATGGCAGGTCCTCCGCCCCAGAAAAAGTCCAACTGAGACTCATAAACTTGCCCCGCCCACCTGAGCGCTCCGTCGTAGGCCCCTGGCGCGTAGGACTGGGGGTGGTCGGCAGCCTCTGCCACCACGATCTGCGTGCAGCAAGGCGCTTGTCTGTGAGGTTTCGAACCGGGAATGGTGCCAGCACTGGGCCTGAAACTCCATCCTGTCGCACAAGCGCAACCCTCCGCCGGCTCTCCTGGCAGGAGCCCCATCCAGGTCAACCCCTCCCCCACTCTTTCTCCCAACCCCACCCCCCGGGCCCTCACCAGGTCCACCAGTGAGGCATGCAGGTGGACTGCGCGGGAGGGAAGGCTGTGCCGGTCCACCACCCGCTCGACCTGCACGATCACCAAGCCGCCGCTGTTGCGCGCCGCCATGGCCTGGTGCAGCTGGTCCAGGTACAGCACCTCGCGCTCGAAGGACACGTTGCCCGCCAGGTCGGCGGTGGTGCCACGCAGCAGGGCGACGTCGATGCGCCGCGGCGGCTGGGCGGAGCGACGTGGGTTTTATTTGTCACGGGCCAAGGCACGGGAGATGCACTGCGTGTTGACAGGTGGGAGGCGCAGGGGCCCCAGGCGACCCAGCGCCTGCCCTCATGGGGACTGCTGCCCCATGGCCAGTAAGACAAAACGTACCAACAACACTTCACACCCCTTGACCCTTCAATACCCACCTTGTAGTGGAGGTACTCTTCGCCGTTCAGGGTCATCAGGGACACCACGTCCTCTGTCGTCCGGCTGTTGCGCTTGCCACCCTGGGCGAGCACCAGGAGAATCGAGGGTGAAAGAGCGTTGCAGTTGGAAATCGGCACATCATCAGTATAGGACCTTCCCCTACACAAGCAGTCTTCTCCTGAAGAAGAGTGGCAAAAGGCCCAAAATCACATAAGAAGGTGCTCCCCCATCAGAACACCCTACACACACACCTTCTCCCGAGGATCCACAAAGGTGCCGAGGCCTGTCTTGGTGATGGGGCCGATCCTCTTGGCAGCTATGTCGCGCATCATGTGACTCACTGGCAGACACGGAGGAGGGATGGAATTTGGGGCATGGAGGGCCGCCAGGGCATGGTGATTGTCTCCAAAGATGGACATAATGTCATGCAGCATGGGGCAGTCTGTGTGGCCACAGCCATTTCACTGCGACCCCTGTGTCCCTCGTCTTTTCATGTGCCCCCAGTAGCCCGGACTCACACACTCCCAGGGGCAGGTTGTGTGCCCGGATCTTGTTCTCCAGGACCATCCTTCCAAGCTTGGGACAAGAGCCGATCCAGCCATACGTGACGGCCTCCACCAAGCCTTCAGTGGCCAGGACATCCAGCCCGGCGCCCTTGCTGTTTCCCACTGATGCGAGGAAGATGATGCTGAGGTTGCGAGGGGTGCTTGTGGAGTCGTAGCGTTGGCGCAGTGCCTTGAAGAGACTGTCTGGAGGACCGCTGCCCACAAAGCCAGCAACCTGCAATTGAGGCGGCGGGGTGGGAAGAGATCTCAGTCGTACAACATGTTGCTCTCATGCTCAGACATATTTGGGCCCTTCCTCTTACTCATGAGTAGTGTAATGTACAGATTAAAACCCGATCTCTCGTTTTGGAGCGCTCCCTTTCACACTGTGCCGGAATGTCTTTCCGGCTGTCGGAACAAGCCAACCGCGCTTCTCGACAACCCCAAGATCGCCCGTAAGTGGATCCCCATCGAGCTCGCGACAACACTCCCCCTGACATTCGACACCACATAGAAATAGTACTCACAGTAACAATGCTGCCGTCCTTGATGCGCGCTACCGCCTCGTCGGCGGTGACAACCTTGTTGGGGGCCTCATGCAGCTCGTCCGCCCGACACCCCTGCCGCTGCAGGGGTGTGGAGCAATCGGATCTGGGGCTCCCCTCCAAGGCATCGGACAGGTGCCTGATGCGCCTCATTGTCCTGTCATCTGCCATGCTTGGCAGGCTGGAGGTGTATTCTATCGGAGTTCGCTATGCAGAAAGACAATACCAGTGGACGAAGATCGGCGCATTCACAGCATGCCGCTTGCTCGTAATCGCTTGAAGGGCAGCAGGTTGTATTGCAATGCCCACAGATCTCCAAACCTTGCGTCGGCGGCCATGCAGATCATCGGAATGGAGGGTAGGTCCCCTGGGGCGCAAAAAACCGTAGTCACCTCCCCGCGTCCCCGTCAGCAGTTCGGCCTGAGTGGAAGAGCTTCTCTAGAAACTGATCACACCCCAATACCTCACATTATGTTGACGTAAACCCTTCTTGCTGGTACTAGTTCCATACTCTGACACTTCTGATTCTGGTCCTCAGCAGCCATACATTGCAAGGTTGAGAGGCAGAGGCTGGGTGCACGTGCAAACACATTCTCCCCATCCAGCTGCCGCATTTCGCATGGATCCCTCACCCCATCAGACATCATCCAGGTCATCCAGGGTGGCTGCTGCGGCGTGGAGCTGGGCCTTGCTGAGCTTGATGGGGCGTCTGGGTGGCAGAGGCCCACATCCCCCCGCCTGGGCCGCAGTGGAACTGGCCGCCTCCAGCCTAGCTTCGGCGGCAAATATCTCCTGCACCGCCGCCCGGATTTCCTCCGGCGCCCGTCGCTGCGCCTCCCCGAACGTTTCACCCAGCTTGCTCTGGATCTCCTGCAGGTTTGTTGTGACAAGTGGGCTGGGATGTGTTGGCGGTGTCCCTGCTCGAGGGTTCTGTAGGCGGCACCCAGAAAACTGAGTATTTGCATCAGCACATGAAAACCCAGACTCCTGCCCAGGGTGCAAGACCACAGGCTCCCCTGACAGCGACCAAGTCACCGCCACATGCAATGACCCCTCCTCGTGCCGCCTGGCACACACCGCAACACACCGCAACACACCGCACCTTGAGCCGGGCCTGCTTCTCGCGCTCCTCCTTCTCCTTCCTCTCGGCCTGCAGCTTGGACACCTGCCAGATGTCCTCCAGGTTCTCCACCACCGGCACGTCCGGGTGTGCCTGGGTGCAGGGTGGGGCAGGGGGGTGGGAGGGGCGCTGAGTGCAGGTTGCCCTGGTCGTTGCCAGGAGAGCTTGGGTGCGCTTGTCTTCCACACACCCTGTACAAGCCTTGAGCCGGCCCCCATCACCATAGTGGGCTGCAGAGGGGATGGCCTCCCTCCCATCCACTCCCAAAGTCTGCACCCCAATCCTTACCCCCACCCACCCACCCAACCACACCCACACCTTGATGTACTCGTCCTCTGGCGTGCGCTGCACCGCGGCCTCCCCATCGCTGTCCCAGCCCGCGGCGTCGCCGTCCAGGAGGTATGCTGCCCGAGCGATCTCCTCCCACCGGGTCGTCAGGTCCTGGACCGGCCGCGCCGCGCTTTCCAGACCCTGGCCAGCGCAGTCCTGGGCCTGCGCCCCTGGGCCGGCTCGGGACTCCTCCACCTCAGCATCTTCCCCGGCCACCACGCAGCGTACGGAGAACGGCGCGCCGGGCAGGGGCACCCCCCCGCTGGCCAGGTGCAGGCGGTACAGGCCTGGAGAGGTCAGGCAGTACTCGCAGTCGTACCGCCCCGCCGCCTCGTCCCACGCCACGCGCACCGCCGGTGGGGCCGGGCCGGGTCCGGTGAGCTCCGTCTCCAGCGGCACGCCCGTCGCGGGGGCACCGGCTCCGCACCGGTTGCCGTGCGCGTCGTGGAGCAGGACGCTGAAGCGCGCCGGGCGGCCTGTGACCGCGCGCCCCCGGCCCTCGCCGGTCGCGGCGCTGCGGCGCGGGCAGGGCGGCCCCGAATCGACGCGCAGCGGGTAGGGCGAGGCGGCCACGTGCTCCTGGCCGGCGGTGACGTGCAGTTCGTACACCCCAGCCACGGTGGCGACGTAGGCCACTGCGTAGGAGCCGTCGCCCAGGTCCCGCACGCTGCCCGTCACGACGGCGTGGGGGGAGTAGAGTGCCGCCGAGAAGTCGTCGCCGCCCTCCAGCCGTCGGTTGCCGTCCTCGTCGCGGGCCTGCATGGAGGGGGAGGGGTGGACGGTACTCGATCCCGGAGGCTGCCGTCGGGGTTGGTGCATGGACATGCGGGCATGCACCTCCACGGTCAACCCCTCTTCCTGCCCTCTGGGGGGGAGCACGAACGCAACAACCCACGGGAATCGCGCCATGGCGCCGGCGTCAACCCCACTGGCCCTCATTGAACCCTCCTGCAACTCCTGCCCACTGCCCCGCACCGCACCTGGATGACAAAGGACGCCTCGACCCCGGCTGTGGCGTGTGTGACCCCGGCCCCCGCCACACGGCACCGGGAGGGGGCGGCAGCGGATTGGACCCAGGCGTCCGCCTCCCACTCCCCCTTGAACCTGGTGCCATCCGCGAACTTGCACACGCCCCGGCCATGCCTGGCATCCCGCAGCCACTCCCCTGGCATTGGGGTGGGGGGGCAGGGGTGAAAATGAGATCGTCGGTCAGATCTCAAACTATGACATCCTGGAAAACAAAAGTTCAGCCTCACTCAAGACCACCGGCCCCTCCTCCACTCACCCTGGAACTTGTCGCCGTTGGCATAGATGCAGATGCCCTTGCCGGAGCGCTGGCCGTCCTCCCAGTCGCCCTCATACTTGGACCCGTCTGCATACACGCACCGCCCCTTGCCATGCTGCTTGCCCGCCTTGAACATGCCTGTCAGGTGTGGGTGGGGAAGGGGCCACATATGCACTCTGGAACAGTCGAGACTGTCAGGCCTTTATGGCAACACCCTGCTATCCTTGCAGGCGCTTCCCAGTGGAATAATGACCGACAACTGCTAGGTCACAAGTATACCACCCCAGGGCACCCCACGGCCCCGTAGTGAAGCCCAACGACATGCCTGACATAGTGCCAGACACAAATATCCCTCGACACTCCACACCTCCGGCTCACCGATGTACTTATCCCCAGCCTCGTTGGTGCAAATGCCAGCTCCATCCTGCCTATCCTCCACCCAGTGCCCGTTGTACTTGTAGGCGCCATGGCTGTAGCTGCCCTTCCCATGCCGGAGCCCGGCGCGCCATTCGCCGTCGTACTTTCCACCATCGGCATAGAGGCACTCGCCCTCGCCGCACTGCTCCCCCGCCTCCCACTCGCCCATGTACTTGAAGGCGCCGTGCTGCAGAGGTGCAGGAGGAAAGGGAGTGCTTACTTGACGCGATGCAGCAAGACTGCAATACATGGAAGATCTTGAGAGGTTGAGCCTCAACAGTAAGGTCATGTGCCTGTCAGAAGGCCTTCAGGGTCCAAAATTAGGCATCATTCCTACACAGTCTCTCATTCCAACGCCCAGCATATATGTTGCCCTTGCCACGCGCATCCCCCCCCCCCCCCCCCTCCTCCAAGGGCTCACTTTGTACAGTACGCCTGATCCATGCTGCAGCTCGTTCTTCCAGCCCCCAGCATACTCCCATGAGCCGTCGCGAGCCGCCAGCTTCCCCTTCACTCGCTCCCCCGCCTGCCACTCGCCCTCAAAGGTGCTGCCATCCTCAAACACCATCACTCCCCGCCCTGTGTGTGGGGTTGGGAGATGGGTGGTGGTGTTGCTGCTTCTTTGGCCTCCTAGAATCTTGCAGGTCCAGGGGCGCAGGCCGGAGCAGACGACCACCATAGAGCACCCCACCCTGATGCAAAAGCAGGCTGCCAGCGTCCCCAGCCCCACCATGCATCTTGTCGGCCGCCCACTCCCCCTCGTAGCGAGCGCCTCCCTTGAAGATGTGGGCGCCCCAGCCCTCGCGCAGGTCCTCCCTCCACTCGCCCTCGTACACAGCCCCATCCACGTAGGTGCAGGTGCCACTCCTGTGCAGGGTGCAGAGCATTCGTCACGTACCAAGGATGCATCACAGTACTCAGGAAGGTTGTGTGTGCCGGTGCAAAGGCCACATGCATGGCGAGGAGACCAGGGAGATCTTGGACTCCAAGACACACCACTCTGACAATGCGCATGCACCATCCAACCCCCCCAATCCTACCCTTGCGCTTTGTCGTCCACCCAGTCGCCCTCGTAGGTGATGCCAGAGGCCAGGACGAGCCTGCCACGCCCGTCCCGCTTGTCGTACCGCCAGTGGCCGACATATCTATCCCCGGAGCTGCAGGTGTGGTCGCCCTTCCCGTGCCGCAGGGGGCCCAACATCTCGCCCTAGGGTGTGAAGTTTTGTGGCAGTGTGCACATTGCGATGAGGCCGGGGTTGGATGCACATGGCCACCCCACAAGAGCTACCCAGTGGTGCCAGGCCTTACCCAGCAGAGCACTACACCGTGTCACCTTGTAGGTATCTCCATTCACATAGGACACAGAGGTTTCTCGCACTTCAAAGTCCTGGGGACTCTGGAATCCAGCAGCAATAGCTTCCCTGTGAGGTAACAAAGAAGGGGAGTAAATATCGGCGCTCCAAGAACGAGTAACGCAGAAGCACCAGGGAGTTCCCTCCAGGTGGATATTGGGTCTGGGTGGTGCATATATACATGCATGCGTCACTCCAGCATCTGAGGGTGCATGCTTCCCACATGCCAGCAAACACTGCTGAGATCCGGTCAAACCCGGCTGCATTTGACTTACGACATGTCAGGGTTGGGTTCAGGGGTCACCGCCACACCCATTTCGCTCATGTAGACCTGCAGGCGCAGCTTCTCGACCTCCTTGGCCAGATCCAGGGGGGCCGACGCGTCGTCGGTGATGTCCTTGAAGGACACCATGTCGGCCTCGCCCGGGGGTGATGGCAGTCAAAGCAGCACCCCCTGGTAAGAAGCGCAGGATGGAGACTCTTTGGATGCAGTGCAGGTCTTGAATCAAAATACTCGTCGTGCTGCCGAGCGGAAGGGGCGATCTGTGCGTCCCCACGCGTGGAGAGCTGGTGCAAGCTTGGTGTCGTGCAAGTCGTGGCGCGCTCTTTCCGATTGAGATCTTGTCGCCTCTGGTGAGGGCAGTCCAGGACCAATCAAGTGGGGTAATAGTGTCATACACCAACAAAGACAATTGTACAGAAGAAGATCGAGTACCAAGCCTGTCTGCAAGATTACCGATTGCCTGAACCGCCATGCTGGTGCGGCTGCGGCTAACAACGTCCCCACCCACCCTCTCAATACGCCACACTCCAGGCCCGCTGCAGCGGCGGCAGTGCAGCGTGCAGCTCCGTCCCCAGCGCCTGCCAGTCCGGCTTGCCGTCAGGGCCATGCAGGAGGTCCGCCTGCTCGACGTCAACCTCGTCGCGGCTCATGGTCTGCGTGCTGGGCGCGCCCGCCGGGTAGCTGATCCAGCCCAGTGGCGCGGCGCTGGTCGCCGAGGTGGCGGTGGAGCCGGCATCGTCGGTGACGCCCTGCTTAGCCCTCAGCGCCGTCTCCTTGGCCACCTCCACCACGGTGGACAGCACTAGCGGGTTGCGTTTGACCCTGGACTTGAAGAACTTGGGCGGGTGCGCCGTCATCTTGTTCACAAGCTCCTCCCGTTCCCTGATCGCCTCGTTGGAGCCTGGTGGTTGGTGGGGGGGGGGGGGAGAGGGGACTGGGATGATCTTCAGGCTCAGCCTGCCACGGACGAGGGTGCAGGCAGATATTCTGCCCCAACCCCTCGATCCCGCCCTCAATTGCGATGAGGCGCAATGCTCCCCACCCCAGCCCTCACCCTCTGCGCCTGCAAAGGAATTAGGGAGGACGTCCAGGATGTGCATGCCGGGTCCGTCCACGCCTCGCACCGCCAGCTCTCGCAGTTCCCTGGAGAAAGGGAGTGGCGGGATTTTAGGCACTGAACTGTCGTGGGAAAGGGGCTCGCCCAGCACAGGGCAGGCAGACCCGCAGGCAGCATATGGACTAGGCCATGCACAAGCTGGAGCTGGACAAACGCCTCCCACAGCACTTTGACACCACGCCACCCCTCCCAACGCACTGGTGGCTGGCGCAGTAGAAACACAGAAAGTGCACTGCGTATGGGTTGGGGGAGGGTGTTCATAGGTGCGGCATGCCACGAGCTCGTGGGTTCCTTCTCTTGCGCTCCTGGCAGCTGCTGTGTGTGTGGCGGCATGCAAGATGTCTCCACCAACACATTCCCTTTTGTCTCACCTAGGAAGTCGTCGATGCCCGGAGGCAGGCCAAAGGTCGAAGGCAACTTGTATCGTCTGCAGTGCAGTGGAGTTGGCATCAGGCTGTGCAGTCCAGGGTCTGCAAACTGAACATAGTGCTCCGCATGAGCGACAGGGATGAGCAGCAGGGATGAGCTCTCGGAAAGCTCCGCGCCGTCAACAGCAAGGAATGGGCCTAGGCTGTTGGCTGACCCACTTGCACCCCTACTTCTGTTCCAACAAGCACACATCGCACCGTCGCATTTTCTCTCGCGCGTGGCAGCTGTAGAACGCCCCAAAGTTGAACAGCACGTTCCCACAGAAGGAGAAGATCTGGCCAATGCCGCAGCTGAACACGCACGACATGAGGCAGTACATCCTGTGGTCGGTGAGGAGGGATTTGCGGGATGCTCAGGGAGCAGGGATGCCTCAGTCTCGGGCGCTCAGTCCGGTCCGGGAGCAGCCCACAGGCCTGCATCATCAGAAACACACACACAGATGTTTTTGAAGATTATCCCCCGCACCAGCCCCCAGAAACGGAATACACACACCAGCAGAGGGCTTTGATGTCGGACTTGTAGCTCTTGTGCCCGATGTTCTGGTAGGGGAAGACGTACTCACGGCCCAGGTTGGCGGCATACACCGCCCGCGCCCACCGCGTCTGGCGCAGGCCTGTCCAGTAGCACTCCTCGCAGGTCCTGTGGCATGGGTCGGGCAAGGACTCTCGCAGGGCCAGGGCATGGGCTTGCAGGCGCGGCGCTGGGGTGTGGGCGCGCAGTCGAGCTGCACATGGCCCCCGACTCTTGGGGATCTCTGAGGTCTGACAGAACCGTGTGGCTGAAGCCATGCATGCAGGGCTTGGGTGCTGGCATGGAGAGTTGCGGGGCCTCAAATACTGCACCCCCCTAACCTCACCTTCCCATGCACGCCCCCCGCCAGGCCAGCGGATTCCACTTGAAGGAGTCCCAGCAAGGTATGTGGACGGAAGACTTGGCCGTTTTATTCTTCCAGAACCTGAAAAGGGGCCGACCGGGAGCTGGTGAGGACACAGGGCAGGGAACCGCCAGGGCACCCACGCCAAACCCTCATTCCTCCATCCCGGCTAGGCTAAGGTACAGGATCGTACCCAGGATCCCCACGCACCACATCTCGAGCAGGCCGTTGGTCCATCGCCCCTCGTTTACAACTTCGCTGTACAGCTCGTAGATTTCAGACAGGGGTAGAGGCCGATGGTCGCGGAAGTCGCTGTGTCGCGTGGGAGCCTGCGCCATTATGGTGTCCGTCCGAGACCAGCTCGTGCAGACGCTGCCGCACGCCCATCGCTCGATGGCTTTGGTAACTGCCGCCATGCTGCGATGAGAGTGGTCCGCGCAGCCTCAGTTGAGCGCTCTCGCGGGATGCCGAAAATATGGTAATGAGTGTGCTGATTTGAAGGCCCTGCGCGCACCAACGAGACAGGCAGATCGCCCTGCCTCTGAGGCCGGAGAAATGCACTCACTCAAGTCTGCGTGCTGACCAGGATGAGCCTGCGACACCTCCGCGAGTTTGGCCCACCGATGGCGAATGCGATTCTGTACGCGAGGGACAGATCATTCTACCATTTTGGCGGGAATTGTTCATTTTGGGCCCCTGCTCGACACCCACCGACATGGGTATCGCCAGCGGCACGCTGTCCTGGACAGAGTCGCATCCTGACGAATGCTTCGCAAACCCAAGAGCTCGAACGTGTGCTTTCTGTATGCAGGTCATGCTGATCCGGCGATTGCCACCCTGAAGTGATCGAGAGGGGACGTCCCTCATTCGCGCGGCCATGCCGCCGCGCGTGACGCGCCCCGAGGCCAATGCAGAGGTTTTCAAGGCCCCCCTACCCCGTCAGAACCGGAAAGTGCTGCCTACATTGACCCTTGATCGGTGAGGGGAGTGGTGGGGGAGGGCCTTCTGGGGTGAAGGGGCCCAGCCAGTGCATGCAGTGCCATGAAGGGTGATTTCCACGGCATGCACCACCCTTCATGAATCTTCCGACATCTTCCACTCCTTCATGCGATCGTCCCCCGCTCCCACGCCTCCCAGGTTCGACCAGCAGGTCCTGGGCGGCCAGCTGTGGCTGCCGGCCTGCTCCAGCCTGGCGCCGCCCCCCACATCCATCCCGCTGGAGTTCGATGGCGTGGAGGAGTACGTGTCTGTCATGGAGCCGCTGGTGCTGGCGGAAGCGCGGGAGTCGCTGCGCGGTGAGTGGGCCGAGGCCTGCGCGTCCGGCGCAGCGCTGTCCGTCACCGTGGCGGGCTTGGAGCACCTGGAGGGCGGCTGGGCCCGGCTCAGACTGGCGCCCCACGGCCCCGTCGCCGCCGACAAGCTGCGCTACGCCGCCACGCCCGGGCGCGTGGCGGTGCTGAGCTCCGAGGAGCCGCCACGCAGCGGCGCCCTGGCCTGGGCGGCCCGCGGTCCCCCCGACCCGCCGGCGCCAGAGTCGGGGTCCGCAGGTGGACTGGGGCCCCGTTCCGGCGGGGATGCAGGGCACCACGACGACGGCTCGCCTGGGGCCCAGGAGGATGCCAGGTCCTCCGAGTCCTGCGGCAGCTGCGACGCGCCGCCAGGGAAGCGCGCGCGCCGCAGCCCCTCCGCGCCCCCAGCCGGGGTGCACATGGTGGCGGGGACGGTCAGCCAGGGCCGCGGCGGCAGCGAGGTGGAGGTCAGGGTCCACGCCGCGTGCGAGAGCCACGCCCGCGGCGCCGCGCCGGGGCCGTGCTCGGCCGCGCTGCGCGCGCTGGAGGCGGGCGGGCCGCGCCGCGTCTGGTGGCTGGTGACGGGCCGCCCGCTGGTCAGCCAGCGCCGGGAGTTTGACGCGGTGCACCGCGCCGTCTCCATGAGCTCGGCCCTCCTGCCCTACGTCCTCAGGCCGTCCCTGCTGCAAGTGCCCGCCAGGGCCTACGCCGACCAGGCATGGAGTGGCGGCTCTGGGTGGGAGGAGTATCCCTGGTTCGATTGCATGATTTGCATGCCTGCCTGCCTGCATGTCCGCATGCACATGCTTTGGGGCGGCTGCCCTGTGCCCGCTTGGACACAGCCTGGGCTCAACCAGGCCAGAAATGGGGGAACCTCCAGGCCCCAGTCCTTGTTGGCCGTTGCCCTTGGCGGCTGAAACCTCCATGTCACGTCCCCGAGAGCGCAGGAGCTGAGGCAGCGGCTGTGGCCGCCTGCAGCCCGCACGCCGGCCTTCATCCGGCACCTCCAGCAGCAGTATGACTACAGCCAGCTGGTGGCGATCGAGGTGTGAAGGGGTTGGGCGGGAGGAGCAAGGGAGCATTTTGGAGTTGTGTCTGCACAGAAAGGCTGCATGAATAGATCTTGGAATCCCTGGCCAGGGATGGGCAAGAATCGGATGATTCCTTATTATGGACCATGCCTTGATTCAGCTTGCCAGGTCAGAGGGCCATGTGGGACCAAGCATGCCATTCTCAGGACCAAGAATAACCCCAGTGCACCCCTACCGCAACAGATGGCGGCCTGTCACCTGGGAGGCGGCGGTCCGGATGCTCACGGGACGGTGGCGGCGCCTCCCCTGCCCTTCACCCTCATCCAGGGCCCGCCTGGGACGGGGAAGACGCACACCGTCAAGGTGAAGCTGGGGGAGGATCTTGGGGTGATTCGATGAGAGACCTTTGCATGCAAGGGTGTGATGCCCCCCAGGGAAGACCTTGTTGTGGGTGCCTGGGCGGTCGTTCCCTCGTGCAGCCAGCCGCATGCCGTCTGGTGCAGTGCATCTGTGTGCCCCACCTGCCCCTTGTAACCAATGCCACTCTGTGCTCACCCATGCTCCCACCGGTGCCGGCTCCAGGGGGTGCTCAATGTGTGGCACCTTGTGGCCTACCAGGCCTACTTTGACGGCCTCATCGCTGCGGCGCTGCCCGGCACCGCACCCACAGCCCCGCGCCCCGCGCCGGCCAGCTGCCTGAACAATGCCGGCAGCAACCTTGTGGAGGTGTGCGGAGCAGTGGAGTTGAGCTTGAGCGTGGGGTTGATCGATGGATGGGAACTGGGGCAATGTGCGGCGTGCCATCGAGACGATCACATCGTGTTGCGGCACCAAGTCTGAGATTGCGAGGACCTCTGGCGACGAGGCGGTGAAGCCGCCTGATTGTCTCTCATACCAGACTCCATGCGTTCCCTCCCTCTCGTTCTTCTATCAGTCCCACCCACCCAGCCCACCCCCTTTCACACCGGCCAGGCCCTGAGCACCGACCTCCTGTCGGGGCTGGGCGCGGCTGTGGTGAAGACGCGGCCGCGCATCCTGGTTTGCACGCCCTCCAACGCCGCATGCGACGAGCTGCTGGCCCGCGTCATGGCCCAGGGCTTTTGCGACGGCAGCGGTGAGGGAGGAAGGGTCATGTGCTCTGTAGGAGCAGGGAGCATGTGGCAGCGCAGGGAGCGATCAACAGCTTGGTGGTTTTCGAGGGGAGCTGAGGTGCAAGCAGGCTCTTGAAAGCCTTGCGTCCCCAAATCCACCACCCCTGCTTGTCACCACATGCGCCCTCAACATCTTCGACCGCTCTCCATGACAAAACACACACCCCTCACCCCGTGCAGGCGGGCGCTACTCGCCCAACGTCGTGCGTGTGGGTGCCGATGTGGACGGCGTCATCTCGCCGGCGGTGCGCGGCCGCTCCATCGGCCGCCTGGTGGACCAGCACCGGACCATGATCCAGAGCGACTGGCAGCGCCGCTTCGCCGACGCCTCACGCCGACGCCAGCACGCCGGCCGCGAGATCGAGCTGCTGGAGGCCGCCCTGACGCGCTGCGCCGACGAGGCGGAGCGGATGGAGCTGGCCAAGGCACGCACCGAGAGGGGGGGCGGGGGGGCGGGGTCAGGGGGCATCAGGGGATGTTTTAGTGTGTGGAAGAAGAATGTACGGGAGATGGGCTGGCGGGCTGGGTCGGGCCAAGGGTAGGGTGGTGGTGGGACGGTAGCCAGGGCGCATTGACGCTGCCTCGGCCTGGGCAGAGAGCGTTGCTCGCGTGCGACGCGCATGGCGGCAAGATCTGAGCGTGGGCTTCGGCACATGCGCACCTTGTACCGCATGCGGACCTACCTCTCCCCCAATGACCTTCTGACGCATCGTTCTGTTCCTTCAACGTCCATCCCCCACCCAGCCTACACTCGCCCACCCGTCCTTGCAGCGGCTGATCGACAGGTACCAGGTCCGGCTCCGCTTCTCCCAGGATCTGGAGAGACTGGAAGCTGCACGCACCCTGGTCTGGGGCGCGCGGGAGGAGTGGCGTGTGCGAGAGGTGGGTGGAGAGGGCTGGGCTGGTGGGATGCTGGTGCAGGAGCGCATGGAGCCCGGGCCTGAAGTGAGGAGGCGGGGAGGGCAAAGAGGGCGAGGGGCGCTTGGCGACACCCCCAACCAAATCAGGACAGTCGCGCATGGACCTCCGTCATGCAGGCCGAGCAGGCGATCGAGACCAGCCTGCTGCTGGAGGCAGAGATGGTGTTCACCACCCTCTCCTCCACCCAGCGCAAGATTTTCCAGCTGGCTGCCGCCCAAGTGCCGTTTAGGACGGGTGAGTTTGAGGAGGGTGTTAAGTGGGCATGGTCCTTGTCAAGACTGCAGAGCCTGCTGCAGGTGACACACCACGCCCCCACCTGCATGGCCTGTATGACAAACTTCAACACCCGTTGCCATCCCACACAGTGCTCATTGACGAGGCGGGGCAGGCCTCGGAGATCGCGGCCCTGCAGCCGCTGGGATTTGGCGCCGAGAGGTGCGAGGGGCCTGGGCGAGTGCACTTGGTGGGCTGGGAGTGGGTGGGATGTCTGATCCATGATCAGGATTTCCATGCCCTGCAATGTGTGCTGAAGTGTCGCCAGCAGTCACCATCTGTGCCTGGCTGTTCGTATTCCTGGTAGCCCGGTCTTTAATCACTCCTGCTTTCCACCTGCCTCGCAGGGTGGTGCTGGTGGGCGACCCGCAGCAGCTCCCCGCCACCATCCTGTCAGAGCTGGGTCGCGAGATGGAGATGGAGCGGTCCCTGTTTGAGCGCCTGCAGCGCTGCGGCGCCCCTGTCAGCATGCTGAGCGTGCAGTACCGCATGCACCCCGCCATCCGCCAGGTACTGTTTGGGGGGAGGGGCTGGCATGGGACAATCTGCGAGAGAAAACCCACAGCTGTTTGGACCTGATTGAGCACCAGTTAATCTTGAGCCAGAGTTCTTTACCTGCTATCCATATATGAACTCCCCCCCGCCCTCTTCACTCCCCCCACACTGCCAAAATGCAATGCACATGCGCAGTTCCCATCGGCCTACTTTTACAATAACAAGCTGGAAGATGCAGCGTCTGTGCTTGAGAGACCCGACGAGCCGTACTATGCGCACCCACTCATGAAGCCCTACGTGGTATTTGATGTGGCTCGGGGTCAAGAACAGCGCGCCCGGGCAGCCACCGGATCCGTCAGCAACCTGGTGAGGTTGAATCAGGAAGGCCCCTGGGCCGCTTTCACGGCAGCGTACGTATGGTCTGGAAAGCATGACGCTCAAGCATACATTTGCAGTCACTCTGTTTCTGCCTCATGACATTTGAACCCTGGCCCCACTGAAGCAAACTTCACTCCTGTGTCTCCCAGATCGAGGCCGAGCTGGCTGCGGCCCTGTTCCACGAGCTCCGTGCTTTCCTCATCACCACGGCCAAGGAGAACCCCGGCGAGATCAGGGGACCGACGAGTGTGGGTGTCATCACCCCTTACCGAGAACAGCGGGCCCTCCTGCGCAAGGTCTTCCAAGATGTGGTGGGCAAGGTTGCAGCCGCAGAGGTGAGGGCGGTACATGCAGGGTGGCAGTTTCGTTGAATTTCCTGGCTGTGCAAAATCAGACCTTTGTGACTTGGGTTGCCTCTACAACTCTGACCAATGACAGAGGGTCCTAGTCTGCACCAAGGCAGCCAGCAACCTGCACCTTCCTCCAGCCCCACCACCCCACCGCCTGCAGGTGATGATAGAGACAGTCGACTCCTTCCAGGGCAAGCAGCTAGACGTTGTCATCTTCTCCTGCGTGCGCGCCGGCAGCGGCGGAGGCCTCGGTGCGTGATGAGTTGTGTTGGGTGGCGGCGTCCAAAGCACGGTGGATCTCCATACGTCCTGACAGCATACAGATGGGGTTTGTTATATGGATATCAACCTAGCATCTCTACCCTCTCATGATGAAATGAGTGTTCTGCGCTGCCCACGTCGCCAGGTTTCATCACGGACGTGCGGCGCCTCAATGTCGCCATCACGCGGGCCAAGCGGGCAATGTGGATCTTGGGAGCCGTGGGGAAGCTGCGAGCTGATGCCGCCTGGGGCGCCCTCATCCGGTATGGTGATGCAGACCTACTTTCAGGGAATTTGGAAGACGTGGTGGAAGCACGAGTGTAAAAGGCTGCAGCATGTCTGCGTTCGAGCTTGCAGCTCCATTTGCATCGGGCGAGGTGAAGCAGTGACCTTGTGCACGGAGCTGATTGATTTTTTTTGTTAGTGTGTAATCCCCCTTTCCATCCCAACCAAGGGACGCCGAGGCGAGAGGGGTCGTCATCCAGGACGCGGATGCCAACTCCCTTTTTCCCGACATGGAGTACTGGCAGCGCAAGGCGGCGGGCACCCCCGCGCCACAGGACCAGGCACCGACGGCCCACCCCGCGGGGCCTTGCCTGCCGCGCCAGTTTCCCGCCATCCCCAGCCGACGATAGCAGTCCTGGGAAGCATGCCACTGTCGCTGCACATTGTCGGAGCATGCCATTTGGGATAACTTCCAGCTGGGCCGCCAGGAAGGCTCCCTGCAATCGCATTCTCTTTTTTGCCGCCAAGACTGCTCTTCCCGGGAGGACCAAGGCTTCCCCCTGTCCAAAAGGCTGGCATGCCCTGGCAACACGTTTTGCCACATTTATTCCAATAATCTCACAACTTGTTATGAGGCTCAGTCAGTGGGATCGTAAGTCACGAGTCAAGGTCCAGGATTCCAGGAGCAGCACGTCCTGCTGCCCCTTCATCTCGCATCAGCATCACAGCTCCCCATCCAGATACCTGCGGCCCTGCACCCTAGGTGGAGTCCAGGATGGCTCGCACCTGGGTCAACCTGCCCTGGGCGTCGACGTTTCTGGGGTCGAGCGCGAGGGCCTGCCGCAGGTACGGCAGCGCGTCCTGGGCCAGAGCGCGCGCCTGCGCCCGGTCCAGGGTCAGCAGGGCGTCGGCCGCGTCGGTCAGCGCCGCGCCGGCATGCTGCAGCACGACGGCGGTCTGTGGGAGGAAATGCAGATTGCATGAGATAGCTTGATGAGTGGCTCTTTGTATAGAGTCCTACCTGCCCACCCCAGCATCCTGAAGTAGCAGCTCAATGGGGGCCGGAAAAGCGGCCCAAACCCTCGCCCAGGACCTCAGGAGTCTCAACGAACCACTCACAAACCTGGCCCTCGGCGTCCAGCGCGGCGTCAAACTTGTCGGCGGCATTCTGAAACAGGGCTGCTGCCTCCTCCAGGCTCCCCCCCGCCTCCCTCGCCAGCTCCCCCCGCAGGCAGATGCAGCGCCCCCAATTGAGAAATGCGCGCGCGTCGCCGGGGTCTGCCTGCAGTACCTCGCGGTATCGTCGCCCCGCCAGCACCAGCATGTCCCCGGCCTCGGCGGCCAGGCGGGCGGCGGCCTCCGCCAGCACGGCGCCGCGGTCCGCCTCGCCGGGGGCGCCCCCGGCCGCTCGTGTGCGCGACACACTGCGCCATATCTGCATCTTCAGCCTGCCGTGGGCCTGCAGCACGTTGCCTGTGATTTGATGGGGATCGAGGCAATGGAGAATACGTGCAGGTGGCTGGAGACACCCTGTGGGCGATAAAGGCTCACAGATGTGAAAATATATTCACGGACAAACTACAAAGAGGCCACAGCATTCAGTTCCTGAGACACGACCCCTCCCTCCCACACGAATGGCCTCACCCAGGTTCCCTGTGGCCCTGAGGTCCCCCGGCGCGTCCTGCAGCACCTCCTGGAAGGCAGCTGCAGCCTCCCAGAACGCTGAGTCAGCGAGTCCCAGGTCGGCACCTGGAGGGGTCCCAGCGCGCCAGGCCGGGTCAGTACTAGATTCGCAAGCCAAGCCTGGGCATGACCAAATCACCCCGCAATCTCCTCACAAGCACAACAACAACCGGCCAGCAACATCCCACCGCTGACCTGGCGTGGAGGCCAGGATGCGGCCGGCCTTGAGGCGCTGCAGGCCGAGGTCGTAGGTGGCCTTGATCAGGCTGGGGCTCTTCCCAGTGGAAGCGGCCACTGGGGCATCAGTCTTCAGGGGTTCAAAACGGGAGGCTTCTGGATCGCGATCCGGCGCCCGAGCAGCGGCCACCCCACCGCCGCTCCTCTTGCCGCTGCTGGTCTGCGTGGCATCGTGGGCTGTCTCGTCCTGCTGCGCTTCTGCGAAGAGCGAAGGGCGGTCGCTTGGCACGGGAGGCCCATCCCCGCTGTTGGCAGTGACGGGTATGGTGAAAACCCCGTCCTCCACTGCGGCATCTGTGGGAGCGCCGCTGTCCCTGAGAGATGCTGCTGCTCCGGACCAGCCGCCGACATCTGCCCGCCACTGGTCATTAGAATCTGCCTGCCATCGCTCGACGGCGTCTGCCTGCAGCCGATTCTCAGGATCTACCTGCCACCGAGCCCCAGATTCTGTCATCCTGTTCGTAGTCTGAGCTCCCTCTCGCGCTCCATCAGCCGCCCAGGAATCGCTGCCCTCAACCCCTGCTTGCGTTGCGCCACCCGCCTGGTCAATCATCGCTGGGTCCCTGGAGGAGGTTCCAGCCTCCTCACTCCCGCTGCTGCCGCCCGAAAGAATGGCAGCCTCATCATCATCCTCCCGTCGGGCTGCAACCGCACCCTCGAGCTGCAGCCACGATGGCAGCGCCGCGGCCTGTCCACCCCGAGCCTGCGCCATTCCCTCCTCTGCCTCCTCCCGCGTCGCACCCGGTTCCTCGGCCGTGTCCGCCCGCACCAGGCGCTGCATGCGCGCGTACGCCTCCTCCCGGGTCGCTGGTTCTCTGCCGTTGCGTGCGGCCTCCCATCCCAGCTCCACACCCTCCGAGCCGTCCCTGACGGCTACCGGCTCGCCGGGCGCCGCCTCACGCTCCGGCACAGCCACGCGCTGTGCCGGGACGTCCAGGACCAGGGCGTCCTCACTCCGCGACGGGAGGGCCTCAGTGGTCGGGGAGGCCTCGCCCGTGGCCCCCGCCTTGCTTGGGCTGCGCTCCGCCGCCAGCATGGCCCGCAGGTCGGCACGCAGCAAAGAAAGCGCTGCCAGGACAGGTTCCGGCGAGCCCCGCGCCGTTCCCTCCGCTCCCCCTCGCGCCGTTCCCTCCGCTCCCCCTTGCGCCGCCTGCCCGGCCTCCACCGCCGCCTGCAGCGCGTCCAGCCGGCCTACCAGGCCGCCCAGCGCGTCGGCGGCGGGCGCCAGCGCGTCCTCCAGAGCACGCAGGCGCCGCCCCAGCGCCGCCCACTGCTCCGGGTCCAGGGGCCGTGGCGAGGCTGGCTCACCCTCCTGCCGCACCTGCCGCAGGGCTTCCCGCACCTCCGCGCCCAGCGCGTCCAGCAGGCCCGCGGTGTCGGCGCCAGGAGCAGCCGAGGCGCCGCGCACGCCAGTCGCCGCCTGGCTCGCCAGTAGCGCCTTGAGCTGGTCGGCCTCCTTCCACAGCTTGTCGGTGAAGAACCACTGTGGGCGAGATCATGTCAGGGGTGCACAGGCTCATGAATACGAGCCACATAGCGTGTTGGACATTCAGTGACGCGGGCCATTGACCAACCCATGCCACCCCCAGGATCACACACAGAGCATCGGCCACTTACCTGCATCTCCTGCTGCTTGGCGGCCAGGAGCCCGGCGATCTCGGAAGAAAGCTGCTCCTGGCCGGACGACTGGGTCTCCTGCAGCCGCGCCTCCAGGGAGCGCAGGGCGGATTGCAGCCCCGCCACGTCCTCCGCTGCGGCCGAGGAGCCGGCGCCCCGCAGTCGGCCCACCTCCCCCGCCAGCCCTTCCAGCTGGCGGGACAGACGCGCGCCCAGCTTCCCTGTGGCCGCTGTCACATCCTGGTGGAGGATCTGCGTGCTGCTCCCTACACAGACTCCGAGGTGATGGGGTGGGCACTTACATGCACACTCCTCCTGCATTTTGAGCTGTGCCCTCTGGGGCGGAGTGGGACATACGCATTCTGCAGCAGCTGCAACCTCCCTGCGCGTGTCCGCAATGAGAGCATGCACATCCCGCTGCAACATCATATGTGCCTGGCCCTCAATCTGTAGTACGCACCACAACCCCCCTCACCGGTGCTCAGGACGGAGGCTTCGATGGTGCTCAATTTGGCCTCCACCAGTTTGAGGGCCGCCTGCACCCCAGACCCGCTACCCCGCATCTCGGCGGCGAGCGCGGCGTTGTCCTGCGCCGTCCTCTCCGCCTGCTCCCGCAGGACGGAGACCAGCGCCGCCGCCGTGCTGGCCTGTGTGGCTTGGATTGCCAGCCTCTCCCGCTGCCGACTGGCGTAAAGGGCCAGGATGGGGAGCAGGACCGGCGCAGCTGTCAGCATCATCTCCCCCGTGATGATGAAGGCCAGGGCGGACCCCACGGTGCCCAGCCATGCTGTGACGTCCAGGGTGGTCCAGAAGGTCTGCCAGCCGGGGTTGGGGCCGGTGTCCGACCCTGCATCAGGAGGGAGGGCCCTCGCACACCTCAGCCCGGTCCTGTGCATGGGCCCGGGCCGCAGTCCGCCCCGAAGCCCCGCCAGGCACAGGGAAGGTCGTGTGTATCGGGGAATCCGGGTAACATGTGCTGCAGTGCCAGCCCATGAGGTATGCCTGGGAGCGAGTGGCCGCGTGTGCGTCAGGGCAAGGGACATGCTGGGGGGTGAGGGGTCCCGGCCCTAGGGAGCCTGCTCGTCAAGCATGGCGCTTGCCCAATGTTCAGTGCATGATTTCTCTTTCACTCGGCGTGTGCGATAGGGACATCTCCCTGGCGTCAGGACGTGGACGCGACTCGCGCTCTGGCATGTGAGATCGGCCCCGGATTTGGCACCTGTCTCCCTGGAATTCAACGCAGGTGCTCTCCTCTCACAGGGATGCCCGTCAGGACAGAAGGCTCGGGGTGATAGATTTTCCAGAACACAGCCAGCTGTCACCTTCTGACCGATGTAGTACAGGTGACAAGCCCACGGGTCCCCACGGTGTAACAACAGAGGCGGCCGGGGCACCATGCCCCGCTTATGCCTGCTGCCGGGGCTTGAGTCCAGGAAGGAGGGGCGGCAGCACATCCTTCTTCTCCCCGCCACCCCTGCCGGCTCCGCTACCATCCACGACCAGCACGACGTCCATGCCCTGCGGTGCAGCGCCAGGTGGCAATCAGCAATGCTTGGGTTGACACCGGGGTATGTAGTTGCCACAGCATAGTGACCGTGCAAACACATGGTTTCACGAGGGTGCTGCCCCTCATGCCCTGCTGCGCCCTGCACCTCACTGGAGACCATGTGGTGAGCATTGTCCAGACCCACCTCCTCAGTCGGCTCAAGCAGGGCCACAACCCCCGGCCCGAAGAAGGACTGGAACTTCTCCTGGCGCTCCTCCCAGGCCGACCGCTCCATCTGGGGCTTTGCGGCAAACTCCAGGACCAGCGTGTAGGCATTCTCCGGGCCCCGGACCTCCTCCCGCACCCCCTTCAGCTTGGGGGTCAGGCGCCGGGCCAGCCCCCGCGGCTGCCCGATCTTGAAGATCCTGACCAGCGCCTCGTCGAGATGCTGCTCGTCCCCATACCTGAACCTCGTCACATCCTCCCGAACCTAGGTGGGAGAAGGGGGCGAGGGGACATGAGGCCAAGATTTGGGGACGAATGCAGGTCATTCCGGCGAGGGCCAGAGGGGCCAGAGGGGCGAGTATCTGGCACATTCTCTCCTGTGCGATCTGACGAGATGGGTATCAGATGTTCTGAACCCAGGATGCAAGCATGTCCCCTCCTCCCCAAATCCCTGTGCTGAAGCCCAAGACTCTACAGCCTTTACACCCCTCTGCACCCCAAAAGCACTCAGCACGGACTCCACACCTGTTTCTGGATGTCTGTGGCTTGTGATTCCCTGGCAGCCACCGCGCTGGGCACGCTGCGGCAGGGCACGGGGGGCAGCTGCGCGTAGGAGAGCGCGAAGCCGAGAAGGGTCAGGGGAAAGCCATAAATGAGCAGCAGGCTGGAGACGTCGCCGCCGGGCAGGAGGGAGAAGTAGGCGCAGAAGCCGTACACCATGAGACCCAGGCCCAGGGGGCTCAGGATGGTACCGAATGAGACCTGCACACAGCGGGAGGGACATTGTATGGGGGCAGGTGAAGTATGCCCAGTTTCTGTGCCGTGCAGACTGGCCAGCATGAGTGTGGCATGCTGGCAGGATTGGGCAGGAATTGAACAATTCATGCATGAACAAGATGCAGACTTGCAAGTGAGAGGCACAGATCCATCCAGTGGCCATCCCAGCAGCAATCTGCCTCCCCCATCCCAAGTCTCACCCGCTCGATACGGAAGTCAGAGTCCAGGACATACTCCTCACTTGCTGTAGCTGGCTTGGCATAGGTCTGCTCAGATGTCGAGTTTGCTTGCACAAGCGGGTGGGGGCTCCTGGCAAGTGTTCATGGCGGGGTCAGCCCCGCTTAGGATGCATGGCTGGCTCCATGACAACGGATGCCACGACATCCAGCACTGCCCAGGATCCTGACGGACGGCATTGACCCCGAAGGTACCCGTACCCATGGCATGTATGTATAAAACACCTTTTTGTCAGCCTGCATGGCGTGAAGGGGTGGGCATGGCGAGCACGGAGGGCGGGGGGTCCCCATGTCCGTATCGCTGCCGGTGTGCATCTGGGGCTGGCACAGCCTTGTCCAGCCGTTGCGAGGGGGGTGGCCACTAATCCAAGCATTTTCGAAGAGGTGTGCGCAGGTCTACGCTCTTGCGGGTCCTATGCACGGATGTTTCGATCTAGCATCCTCATCGAGCCCTGCTTCGCGCCCCGAAGGGGATCGCTGGACCGTGCAGGGTCACACATTCTTGCATCTCCTTGCCAGGGAGCAGGGCAGGAGGATTACGTGGCTGAGCCCCTGGCAGGAGCCAGTGCACATCCCAATGGAGACTTGTTGGGATGATTTTCAATCGATGTCGCTCAAATGCGGCGCTCCAGCCTCCACATTCCGGCCGACAGGGGTCTGAAGGCGGTCACTTGCCGCGGCGCCCCACTGGGCGAAGGCCCGGCGGCATGGGGAAGATGGCCCATGCCTCCCTGCCGGGCAGTGGCCTGGTGACTGGCCCAAGGCTCTGCCTGCGGGTTGGTGTGGGGGTGGAAGGGTGTGGCGGCAGAGTTGGGGGCAGGAAAGGTGCCGGTGCAGGGAACACCCTCTTCCCGTCCCCTTCTCTCCACACCTGGCGCTGGTAAGCATGCTCCGGCTCCCCCTCCTCATCCGAATAAGCCCTGGACAGGTGCGGAGGAGACTCCCCGTCCCAGTCGTCCGCCTGGCCCCAGTCCGAATCTCGGCCGGCCCAATCGTGCGCCTGATACAGAGGCTCTGCCCTGGTCGCGAGGTGCCCTTGCAGGCCGGCCCCTGGGTGCCCGTGGCGAGGTGCTGCACCGCCGCCGTACCGCTGCGCCGTACCGCCGTCGTACCGCTCCGCCGTACCGCCGCGGTACCGCTGCGCCATACCCCCACCATATCGATCCGCCGTACCGCCGCCGTACCGCTGCGGCTCGCGCCGCGCCGCGCCGTGGTTGTCCCTGGGCGCGGCGACCGGCACGCTGGAGCGGAGGGGCTTGGACGGGGACGCACGGCCGCCGGCGGCGGCCGCCGCCTCGCGCCGTGCGGCCATGATCTCCCACTCCAGCCCGGGGACGCGAGCGGCCTCGCCCCTCGCCGCCTCCAGCTCTCCCTCCAGCTCCAGCACCTCCCCGCGCAGCTCGCGCACCTGGCAGGGTGAATGGAAAGGAAGGAGTATGAGTGTGCCGCACCGGCGAGGCATGGAGGTGCGGCGGCCGCGGACGACTGCATCGACATGCCGCCCTGCAGCTCGCACACGCGCCTTGGCCTCCAGGTCTCGGCAGTACTGGGCCACCCGCGCCGCCTCGTCCTCGGCGACCCTGGACGGGGCCGGGGGTGGGTGCGGATGGGGTCCAGGCGGCCGAGGCAATACACGCGTGGCAGGCGGGCAGGACGAAGGAGGAGCACACAGCCCGTCCCACGGACCCCTGCCAGCCGGCATCCCCCGGCATCCACCCTGCGCATCACACGGCCACCCCAAACGGCCACCCCACCTGGCTCGGGCCTCGGCTTGGAGGAGCTGTTCGCGCGGCACATTGTCCGCGCCGGGCCCCCTCCCGAGACCAGGCTGCTGGCTGTGTCGAAACGGCGGGGAGCGGCTGGGGTCCATGGGGGTCTGGGCTGACGGCTGCACCGCCCTCATTCCCGCCCCAGCCGCGGCGGCAGGGCCTGGGAGGCCGGCTGCGGGCAGGGTTTGTCCGGCGGAAGGGGACCTGGTGGCGGCCGCTGGTACCTGGTCGACGACCGCGTGGGGATGTGCGCCGGCTGCGGCCGCGGCGGTGGCCGCGGCCCTCTCGCGTCGTCGCAGGGTCTCGTCGCTCAGGCGCAGGTCCCGCGGTGCCTCCGCGGCCCCAGGCCATCGTGGCGACACGCCGCCGCCGGCGGCTGGCGACGATGCCGGCCCCTGCCTCTGCACCGGGGACAAGAGGGGCCTGGCCTGCGGGGCAGCCGTGCTCGGGGTCAGGCTGGTGCCGCGCGCGTCGCTGAACGCCTCCCCGCCGGTCAGCAGGGACGCACCGTGCTGGGAGGAGGTGGCGGTGTGCAGCGGCGACTCAGCCGCCGCGGCGTCGGGCGTGGCACCCGCCCCGGGGCCCGTCAGCGGGCCCAGGCGGCGGGCGAAGCCAGCCAGCAGCGCGGCGCCATTGGCTGTCTCCTCCTGCCGCACGGGGCTGTCCAGGGCCTCGGCCAGGGATTCGTCCATGGCCAGCGAGAAGCGGCGGGAGTGGCGCTGGGACGGTGCGGCAGGGGTCTCGGCACCCTCCTCTGCTCCGGTGGCTTCGGCGATGCCTGCAGGTGGGTCCCAGTGGGGGTTAGGAAGGTGAGGAGGGTGCAAGGTGGCCCAGCCAACCACCCAGTCAGTCCAACAGCCCTCGCCGACCAGTCACCACAGCAAAGCAGCCCCACCTGGCATGCCCGGGGCCTGGCCAGGGTCCACGGCATCGGCTGTGTGGCCCGCGGAGGCCAGCTTGTCGGCGTGGGCCTGCGTCACAGGAGGGGGAGCATGGGGATTCAGGGGCAGTGCTTCTGCCCCAGCACGCGTCAGGACCCACGGCACACCTTCCTCTCCGTGACCCTCAGCCACCTCACCCCCCTCCCTGCCTTGGCCCAGGCCTTGGCGTCCGCCTGCATGCGTGCCACGTCGCCCCCGGCCTCCACATTATTGGCAGCGGAAACAGACCCCGGCACGGCCACCGCCCCGGCGGGCAGGTGGGCCTTGGCCGCTGCGGCCGCCTCGCCCCGCGTCGGGCTGGACCGGGTGACGGCCGAGAACAGCGAGGCCAGGCGCGAGGTCGCGGCCGCCGCCAGGCCCCTGGCCGACGACGGCTGCGGCGAGCGGGCGCCCAGCGGGACGGGCTCGGGGCTGGAGGGGCCGGAGCTGACTCTGGGCGCTGGCTCCTGCGCCCCCGGGGATGGCTGGGTGGCATCGAGCCCGCCGGCCGCCGGCGCGTGCCACGGGCTGCCGGGCGTCGCGCCCGGCGGGAGGCGGGCCAGGTTCCGGCCGGCTGAAGTCACGGGCGCGGGGCTCGACCAGGGGTTGTCCGGCAGGCCGCCTGCGGGCTGGGCGGGTGCGGGCTGGGGCTCGGGGGCGTGCCACAGGGGGTTGGCCAGCGTCCTTGGGAAGCCGCGGGGGCTGGCGTCCTCCGGCCGGCGGCCCGGCACGCCCTCCGCACCGCCGGGGCTGGCCCGCAGCTGCCCCGCGGCCTCTCGAACGCCACCGGGGCTGGCCCCGGCAGTCAAACCACCCTCCCGTCCCGGAGACTGGCCCCACGCGAGCGGCAGGCGGCCGCGCGGCGCCGCAGACGGCCTGCCCTTCACGGTGTCTGCGGTCTTGTGCGAGACGTGGGCCCGACGCGCCTCGTCCGCGTCTCGCTGGGCGTGGGGCGACGCGAAGGGCGAGGAGGGCAGCGTGCCGTCCGCGGCGAGCGGCGCCGCCCACAGGCTTTGGGCCCCCTCGCCGCCGGGTCCCCAGGGAGCGGGGTTGGGCGCCACCGTGGCGGCCGACTTCAGGGGGGACTCCATCGCGCCAGGCTGTGGGCGGCCTCCCTCCGCCTGCTGCAGGCAGGTCATGTCCAGGGCATTGGGCAGGAAGCCGTGGCGGGCAAACAGGTTGCGGGGCCCCTGGCTGCCGGGCGAGGTGACCACTGCCGGGGCGGCCGGGCGGCCACAGGCGCCCTGGCGTGCGGCTGCGTCGGATTTCGGGGCAGACGCTGGGGATATGGCCTGGGGCGAAGACTTGGCTCCGGGCCTGGCAGTGGCCGCCTGGCTCTCGTCCTTGTGAATGGGGCAGGTGGACTGCCCCATGTTCAAGGCCGCCGCCCCTCCCAGCCCTCCCACGCCCGGGGCGTTGGCGCCCCCTCCGGCCCCCGGCGCGGCCACCGCGCCAAACAGGGCGTGGAGCGAGCCGACGGCGATGCGCTGCGGCGTCGCTCCCGCCGGTCCCGCGCCCTGCGCCGCCAGGACCCGGGCGCCCCAGGTGCTCGACTGCGCTGCCCCTGCCGGCGTCCCGCTCGCGGCGGCGCCCCCCAAGGTGGGTCGTGGGCTCGGTGCTGTAGAGGGCGGGGCGGCGGCAGCGTGGTCTGCATGCTCCCCAGCATCCTCACACCCATCAGGTCCAGCGGAGGGCCCGGCAATCTCACCACCTAGCCCGGCGCCCTGCTGCGCCTGCGTCGCGGCGGCGGCCCGGGCGGCCAGCCCGCCCATCAGCCCGGCCAGCAGGCCTCCGGGCGCGGCCCCCGATCCCATCGCCGCAGACCCACATCGCTGCAGGCCCGACGGCGTGTGCCGCGCCTCGGCCGGCCTGGCGCCCCGCAGCGCCGAAGTCGCGGCGTCCTCGCCCTCGCTGCCAGAGGACCTGCGCTGCGGCGCCAGCGGGCTGCCCAGGCTGGCGGCGGAGGCGAAGGCCGTCAGCGCGGAGGCCATGCGGCTTGGGGCCGCGCTCTCGTATTGGTCTGTGGACCCGCCGGCGTCGGAGGAGGAGGAGGCCTCTGTCTCCTCCTCCCCATCCCCGGCATCCTCCCCGGCGCCAGAGGCGCCGATGCTGCCAGCGGGGGAGGTGGCGCCGGAATGCAGCGCGGCAAAGGCGTTCTGCAGGGCCAGAGAGGCGGGGGCCGCCACGTGCTCGCGCGCCGACTTGATGGAGAACTCGCCCTCGGCGGGCGGCTCGGCCGGCGCGTGCCGCCGCAGCTTGTTGCCCGCCCGCGCCGTCGCCAGCTCGGCGTCGACGAGGGACATGACATCCTGACGGGGGCTGTTCGGCGCCGGTTCATCTTGGCCGATGGACGGGAAGCGCAGGGGCAGGCCAAATCCTTTTGCTTCTGGCCTGGGCCTCCAGGGGGCCTGCGATGGGTTTCAGTGAGTGCAAACCTTGGTGTATGGTAGCGTGCAGTGCCTTGCCCAGCGTCTCGCTCCGGCCTCCCAAGGATGAGGTGAAACGCGCCAAGCTTATTATAAAGTTCTGCTTACCTGGCTGGCAGACGGTGAGCCCGCCTCGTCGCCAGACTCAGCGGGTGCTGCTCCGACACGCTGCGGCAACACCCCGGGCAACTTGGTGCGGTTGACATGCAGGTGAGGTTTTCGTTCAGCCATGTGCACATCGGCCATTACTGTGCGTATATCACGCCCTACCTCTTCCGCTTGAGCCGTGTCGTCGGCTGAGTCTAACGCCAGCTTCCGGAGGAGGGGCTGGGCGGGGTCAGGGGAGGTCGTTCGGGAGCCAGCCTCAGCGAAAAGTGCTGCTTTTCGTGCCGACTTCCGGCCCTGCTTGGGCCGCATGATGAATGACCTCCGCCTTGCGAGAGAACCTGGGCGACGACTTGCCCAGTGACTCTTCCTTCCTGAACTCCCGACAAGTCTGGTGATCCCGAGAACAGACACAGCACCAAGGGACTTTTCCTCTGAGATGTTTTCCGCAATTATCTGGGAATCGAGTTCTTGTTGTGTACTTTTCATGTTTGTGGTGCGTCCGCTTCGTTCTCCGAGCAACGGGACGGCATGCTCTCCAGCAGTGGTGTCCAGCTGCTGCCGAACGAGTTCATATTTCCCGCCACATTCGGGAACTTGGGGCATGGCAAATGATCTTCCCCACTTCCTTGCTTCATCCCCAGCACCGATCACATGACATTACACCGCACAGTACGCCCGTCCCTGCCCTGCAACTCGCCGTCCCTGTGCGTCAGACCCAGCGCCGCCAGCAGCAGGGACTGCGCCTGCTCCCCGGCCTCCGGATTGGGCACGCCCTCTGCATCCGCGGCGTTGTCCGCCGCAGCCGCCAGGCGCAGGCCCAGCTGTTTTGTTGCACTGTGCAGATCCCGCTGGTGTGCCGCCTGGGTTGGGTGGAGGTGTGGGGCTGGCAGGTTGTAAAACGGGGGTGGGGCAGCCTCCCAGGACTGATGTGTTGGCCATAGTCTGCATTCATTATGACGCAATACTTTGAACAGCGATGCAGGGAGAAATGTGGCCATCTCATCAGGCAGGCCACGTGGCGCAACAGAGGCACGGGGTGCACCTGCCATATCAGGGCTAGGGTTCGCCTTCCTCATGCCGATTCCTGGGTGACAATAGTATGCGAGGTTCAACCCTGGCACCCTGGTACCCCCATTACTCGACACCCTCCCATATCCTATTCCCCGTAACACCACAAACGTGCCTCGGGCGACCACAGCCGCACGGTGGAGTCCTGGCTCCCGGTGGCCAGCTGGGGGTAGCCCGGTCGGGCCGTGCCAGACTCCATGCTGCTGTCCTCCCCCTGGAGCAGCACATTGGTGAGCCGGCCGCTGGCGTACTCCCAGACAAATGCGGCGCCCAGGCTGGAGGGGCAGATCAGGGTGTCGCCGCCCAGCTGGCACAGCGCGGACAGGCTCATGTGCTGCATGCCGGAGCCCTCGGGCAGGCCGCTGCCGCCAAGCAGGTCGTAGGAGCGCGAGTACATGCGGCGCGGGCTGACCTCCTGGTCGGAGGCCTCGCCCATGTGATCTTTATTTTTTTTTTGGGGGGGGGGGAAGAAGGAGGCTTGCGGTCTTGAAGGCATTGGGAGATCGGGCACAGGTTGAAAAGAGCAAGTCTCTCGCTCCAGGCCCAAAATTGCAATGCCTCCTCAGTCTGCAGCCTCTTGTGTGAGTGCTCAGCGCCTAGATTGAGCAGGCCATGCTTACCCCCGGCCAAACCCACGATGACTCACGGCTGCCAAACACGATGGCCCCCAGCCGGCTGCTGTCCTCCCGGGGTCCTGGCGATGCAGTGGGCTGCTGTCGAGCCGCCAACGTCCTCGGCACGGCCGGGAGGCCCCGGCCTTCCGGCGGCGTGCGCGCCGCCGCGCCGGCTGGCCCCGGCGCCGCGCCGGGCCCGCCGTGCGCGGACTCCCCCACCCGGACCCTGGCCGCGTCGGCGTCGCCCTGCGCGGCGCCACCCGTGGACCCCGGGACGTGGTCGCCGACGCGGCTGGGGCCCCGGTCGGAGAGCGCTGCGGAAGCAAGTGGGTGCGCGGCGGAGCCGGCGCGGGGCGCCGCGCTGCTCACGTCCCACGCCGGCACCGCGGCGCGCGTGGCGTACCGGTGCTGCGCCTGTTCCTCCCCCCGCTCGCCGGCGGGGGGGCTGTGCGGCCGCGCCGCGGCGGTGCTCACCTCGGCGGCAGCCCGGCGCGCCGCGTGGCCGCCCCTGCCCGCCGCCGCCGCGGGTGCAGCGCCGCCGGCGGGAGAGGCCTCGTCCGGGGGGGCAAAGGCCACCGAGGGGGCCTCGAGGGCGGCGCGCCGCGGCGCGACGCTCGCCGTCTGCGCAGACACCCCGGCCGAGGCGACGTGGGAGCGCGCGCGGCCGTCGCCGCCGCCGGCGTCCACGCTCGCCTCGCGCCCGCGGCCAGGCGCTGCGTCGGCCCCGCCATGGGAGGGGCCTACCACTGCTCGTGCATGGGCGGGGCCCACCTCCGACACATCCCCTCCCAGGAGATTGTCGGGGCGGGTGCCCAGCACGCTCAGCGTGGAGTCCAGCTGGATCGGGGGCGACTCGCGGGGCGCGGGGTCGAGCACAGCCCCGCCCAGTCGTCCCGCGCCTTCCGCAAACACGGCCCGCGCCAGCCGCCGCGAGCGGCGCTGCGCCGCCGGCCCACCGCCGGCCTCCGCGTCGCTCCCGCTGCCGTCTTGCGCGGCCCCCGGCGCCGAGCTCCACGTGCCCTCGGCCTCCTGAGGCCGCGGCGGGGCCCTGCCCGTCGAGGTTCGGGGCCAGGCGGCCCTGCCCGCGGCCTCTCCCGGCCCCGGGCCCGGCAGGGACTCGGCGAAGGAGGGGGACCCGCGCAGCGCGGCGCGGCTGGGGGGGCCCGCCGGCGGGGACCCTCCCCCGCCCGGCGTCGCGGGGCTGGCCTCGTCGGCCAGGCTGCCCGTGCTCTGCCGGCGCGAGGGCCCGGCGCCGCGCCGCGCCGCGCCACGCGCCGGCAGCGTCAGGTCCGCGATGGAGAGGAGGGAGGCCAGGTCGCGCGCGTGCGCAGCACCGTGGAAGCCGTAGGCCGCGTCGCCGGCGTAGGCGCCCAGCACGTCCGCGCCCCCGCGTGCAAAGGCCACCGCGGTGACCGAGCCGCCGGCGGGGGAGCGCTGCGCCGAGCGGGCCGAGCCCAGCAGGCCCGCCTTGAGGTGGGAGGGCACGTAGGCCGCGACCCAGGGGGCCGCCGTCGCGGCGGGGGGTCGGGCCATGCGCATGTCGTACAGCCGGATGGCCGGGTCGGAGCCTGCGACCGCCGGGCGAGGATGGACGAGGGTGTGGTTTTCATGGGTGGGCCGGCTGGGCGGACGGCTGGCCATGCAGGTGTCTGCACCAAGTTTCCAAGGAATCTGAGAGCCCCGGCTGGAGCCCCAGCCGCCAGCCAAGTCCGGCCCATGTTCCCCCCAACCCCCCCCCCCCTCTTCCGCCCACGGCACCTCCCGTGAGCAGCAGCCAGGGCCGGCACTCGTCCTGAGCCAGGCTGGCGACGGCCACACTACGCCTGCTGCGCCCCAGTCTCTGGTCCCGCTGGTCCACTGTGGCGTGCGGGGGGTGGCGAGGAGGTGGGGTGTCCTCATGCCAGACGGGACATGGACGGGGCCAGCAGAGGCCACCATAGGAAGGGCATGCAGGCCCGGTGCAGGGCGCGTGCCGACCACAAGGCCTGTCCGACATCCCACGACCGGCAGACACCGTGACCGACAGCCCGGCAGCCCCAGCCGGAGCGCGCCCCGCCCTGCAGCTCACCGACCAGGCAGGAGCCGCGCGCCGGGGAGTCTGGCTCCCTGAGGGGCTGCGGCGGGACCCGGGTGTCCGTCAGCCTTACGGTCCCATCGCTGCTGCCAGACAGAAACGAGGCTGCGGGCATGGGGTGTTGGGACAAGGAAGCAGGTCTGTCAGCGGCCTGCCACGGCCACTCCGCGGACGGGTGTGCGCCAAAGGACGCGCAGCGCACCAGGGCGCGGCGTCCCGGCCACAAGAGCCCCGTGCCTGCCTCACCTGCCTCGACGGCCAGCACGCAGGTCGCGGCCGCGGAGTGGAGGTGGAAGGGGCGGGTCGCGCCGCGGCGCAGGCTGTGCATGCGCACCTGCCCGTCCCCGGCGGCCGACAGGACAGTGCCGTCGGGGAGGAAGGACAGGCCGTGCATGGGGCCGGTGTGGCCCTGGTCGGATGGGGGAAGGGAGCTGGCTTCCAGGTGACTGGTCAGGAGCCATGGCCGGGAAACCCAGGAAGTATACAGGGTGCCAGACGGCGGGTGCGATGGAGAACACCCTACCCACAACCACATGCTCACTGTGTCGATCTCGGAGCGCGTGTCGGCCTCCGGCTGCCAGAGGACCAGGCGCCCATCAGCATGACCCACCGCCAGGGTGTCGGCAGTGGGGCCATTCCATGCCAGCGCTCCCACCCCCCCACGATCCTCGAGATTCAAATCTGCCACATCGCAAAGTCTTAGCGCCAGTCCGGGGTCTCCGACGGCCTTAGACTCCAGGCGTGGGCCCCGGAGGGTGCCCACCTCCCGGGCGGCGAGTGCGGGGAGCAGCATCAATGCACGGCGTCATGCAGCCCTCGGGGCCCATGCCCCGCGAGATCCTGCATTCTATGTTCGGAGCAAATCGATGTAAGCCTTTCGAAATCGGCAATTTCCACCACAGGTGCTGGGGACTTCAAGGCGCGATCGGGCCCCTGGCAACGCCCACCTGGCAACCGCAGTTTTCATCTCCTGGGAGTCCATTTCAGTTACAGGTTTGCCAAACGCGTCCTCTTTCCTGTAAAACCGTACAGACGATAGATTCTGTACCAAAGAGTGGTGAGTATGATAGTCGGACAAGTAACAAGAGTTTGAAGAGCTGGTACGTCATCTCGTCATGATCGACATGCGCCGCAGGCCGGCTAGAAGTTGGCGCTGCCCTGTCGCTGCAGCCCCGGCAACGACATGTGGACTCCCGTCCTCCGCGCAACATCGTTGATCAGCCCGAGCTTGCCTCCGATGTGCCTGCAAAGGAGGAGAGAGCGGCAATCAGTAAGGGTGGCAGGGTAACAGCTCACACCGAGGGTCCCCTCCCTGCCCAGAGTCCTCGCAGGGTGTCCAGACACACTCACCCCTCTAGGAGACCGCCACGCTCCAGGTCCTTTTGAACATTGTACACGGCCAGCTCCTGTGCCATCTTCTCCTCCTGTTCGGATTGGGTGGCGCAGTTGAGTCGGATACTGGCAAAGACCATGGGGGGGCATCTTCACATTACCAGTATCTAGCTGACTTGGGGAGAGACGGATGAGCTGACTTTGCGAGTGCAGCAAGTAGCACTAGACTTCCCGCTGATCCCTCACCAGCTCCTCCAGAGTGATGAATCGCCGCCATTGCCGGAATCCACGAATGGTGAACACCGCGAGGACGACAGCGAAGGCACATACTACGCCGATGATGACCCAGAACCACCAACGCTTGTACACCTGGAGGGTGGAGATGGGTTGGTCTTTGGGAATAATAATATAGAGTCAGAGCGACTCGGGCCAGATTATACTACAGGCGGCGACCAAGGCCTTTCTGCGCGGTGAGGAACGAGCTCCCTTGGCAGGGCATATCCTGCACGCAAACCACTCTCCATTCCAGCTCACAGGTCGGTCATCATCGCCAAATGGGTTCGGTATGCCGTTTACGTTGATCTGTCCCCTGCAAGTGGCACGGTGTAAACCATATTTGAGTTGTTCAAGGAGGAGTACTTCATGAGCAGGCACCTCCTCTTTCTCAGCGGCTACTGCAGGGCCGCCCTCACTCGCAGGTGCTCGCCAGCAAGGAGAGGGTGAGAGTAGCTAGAATTAAGGGTGTGTCCAGGCTGCAGAAGCAGGGAGGGTGACGAGGTGAGCGGGCGACACAGAATCCTGTCGCTCGGTGGGCTCTCTAGACACCCTGGGACCGCCTCACCTGTACCGATGGAGCCATCCCATTCCACAATGAGTTGACATGGCGAGGTGAAGCGTCTCTACACAGCCGGGGGCCCACACCCTGAGCGCAGACAGGGCCCGCGGGTTTTCCGTGCCCCCGCTGTCGAGGTCACAGCTAGGTATCGTTCGCCCTAGCAACGTCTCCCCTGCCGTGCTGGCGATGCGCACAGGACCAGGTGTCCAGCCATTATGTAGAATTACAGAAGCGCAGAAGCGCGAACAGATCCTTGATGGCGACCCGGAAGAGGTCGCCATCCTGGAAATCGATGACACTATCGCTCTCGTAAGATCGACAGGGGTCAGGACAACTGGATGGGGTTATGCACTGGCAACAACACGACAACAAGGAACCGATGATACTCGGGAAATTTTCACTAGTTTAACATGGCGTCCTCTCCCTGCACTCACCATCCCGGGTATGGCAAGGGATGCGAACCATTCATGCCAAGGCAAGCACAATATATGGCACAACATTGGAATCCCAGTGCTCCATGGGCTCCCAGACCACCTCAACAACATGCCAAACACGCTCCACGATGTCAAAAACTGTACACCATGTGTTTGCGGTGTATAGTGCGCAGGCTCCTGTCGCTACCACCAGAGTCCTCCCCGGCTCGTAGCATGGACACAAACTCTGCAACATTTTGAGAAGTGAGTGGGGAGGGGGGGTTGATATTGCGTACACTCCAACCGAGGGCTCCAGGCATGGATGGAAGTAGACACCCAGTGGTTGGAACACGCGAGGCACCAGCCCCATGTTGCCAAGAGAGACTCGGAGAAGAATCCCTCGCCGCCTTGCCTGCGTAGTCGATCACGCCGTCCCGATTCAGGTCGTGGCAGGCGATGAGGTTGTGAGCCTCCTCCTCAGTCATGCTGCCGGTCTGATCGAGCGCCTCAGCCACCTCAGCGGCCGTCAGCGTGCCATCCCCATTCTGCCATCATGGTGAGGGGCAGCGGGTGAAGCAGGGTCTGACACTCAACCACACCGGTGTCGTTTTTGGAAGGCGGGGATACCCGCAGATGCGTCTGTGGCATGCGCGAGGGCGGATCCCAAACCAACCCGGCCTGCAGTCCCCTCCATGCTCACCTTGTCCATGTCACGGAAGGCCTTGATGAAGGTCTCCTCCCTTTCCAGCTGGCTCAGGTTGGCAGTGGCCGCAATGAACTGCGAGGGGCCAGGAAGGCAGACACAGGGTGAGGTGGGGAGGTGACGCCGATGCGTGGCTGAGCGTTACCCACCCGCAGGACCAGGGCCTCAGGAGCATGCCTCTCATGCGTAGATGAGCGTAATGACGTGACAACTCCCGAAGCAACCTAGGTTGACGCCTCCTCCCCTGCGCACAGTTCATCCAAACACAGCGACTGACGCTCACCTCCTCGTAATCAATGCTCCCGCTGCCGTCCACATCTACATCCTCCATGACCTTGTGTTGAGGTGGGAGGCAAGGGATGAGGGGCGGTGGGATTACCTGTATCTCTCCGATACGCCCATCATGTGTATATCAGTACAGAGGCCCCGGACCCCCCATCCCCTGGGCTCCTGTCTCACTTGTCGGATCTCGAGCAAGGCCATGTTTGGCTCCCGGCTTGCGAGCCCCCTCTCAAACTCAGCAAAGCTCACCACGCCATCCCCTGCCAGGGACAGGGTGAGGCGTGATCATAACACCGCAACATCTGCCAGGGTGCCTGCCCTCATGAGCAGTTGACATGGGAGAGGGGGTGCACAGGTACCCACCATGCGAAGATCCCAGCCAGACATGCCCCATCGCTTCTTTCACACCCACCCAACCCCACCCCCCTCTCCACACTGCAGCCCGCCTCCCAGGATCCTGCGCCCCACCATTCTCGTCAAAGGACTTGAACAGCTCCCGAAGCCCCTGAATCTGGTCCTTGGTCAGGTACTTGGCGGCACTCAGCACCGCTGCCTGCAAGGGTTGCCTTGTGGGTTGCCTGGCTAGCCAGAGTGCATGTGCAGTCAGCCCTGCCGCCAGAGCAACCCCAAATCCAAGTAGGCACTGCGTCAGCCTCTTCATTAAGACGCCCCCCGCCCCTCCTCGACACCCCTCTGCCATCTTCTGCGGGTCCCCCTCGCCGCCGCACCTTCTTCAGCTTGGTCATGCGCGCAAAGGCCTTCATGCGCTGGATGACCATGGGCGGCAGGGGCGCGGCCCGCGACCCTCCCCGCTCCCGCAGCCAGGGATCCCTGGCAAGGTCTGCGAGGCCGAGCCGCGCGCCGGGGTCGCGGTCCAGCAGCCCCTTGACCAGGGCCTTGGCGCCCTCGGACACGGCGGGCCAGGGCGCGGTCTGGAAATCCAGCTCCTCCTCCAGCACGGACTTGAAGATCTCGGCCTCCGTGCTGCCCCAGAAGGGGGGCAGGCCGCAGAGCAGGATGTAGAGCACCACGCCCAGGCTCCACAGGTCGCACTCCCTGCCATAATGCCGGTGCAGCACCTGAGTTTGCAGAGAAGGGTTGGGGTGGGGGTTGAGTGGGAGGGGGTGGGAGTGGGGTGCGTGAGAGGAGGGAGGGGGCAAAGGGAGGGATCCTGCAGCCTCCGAGCGCCTCGCGATGAAGGACGCGTGGCGTGGTGGGGCCTGATCCCACCACTGATCCCCTGCTCTCTGCGCACTCTGAAACCCCTGTTCCATCGTCCCTTTTCCCCGCCACCCCCTCCCCGTCCCATGTGATCCCAGCAGCCGCCGTACCTCGGGGGCGACGTAGTAGGCCGACCCCACCAGGTCGCGCATGACCTCCCCCGTCTTGAAGTAGGTGGACAGCCCAAAGTCGCAGGCCTTGAGCTCACCCGCCTCACTGCCGTCTGTCAGCAGGAAGTTCTGCGGGTGGGGCGCCGACAAGGCTGGGACAGGCCGTCCCAAGCTTTTGGGGGTGGGTGGTCGCCGACGTGCCCGCACCCCCAGCTCGTGCCGGGGGCGCAGAGAGCACCCCAGCCCCCAAGGGCCTCCCTCGGCCTCCCCTGCGCACCTCGGGCTTGATGTCTCGGTGCACGACGCCCATGCTGTGGCAGTGCCTCACCACCTCCACCATCTGCAGGAAGACCGACGCGGCCTCCTGCTCGGAAAAGGTGCCCTTGGCCGTGATGCGGTCGAACAGCTCCCCGCCTGCGGATGGGGGGGAGTGGCGTCAAGTGGAGGGGTGGGGACGACAGCGGCCGGGTGAGCGCCGTGGCAACCTCAGTCCTGCAGGGAGCGTGAAACATGCGACCCACAGAACCGCATACGCTCCCACAAGGTCCCCATGCTCCTGCTGGTACTCTTCGAAACCAAGAAACCAGCCCTCCCGCGGACCCCGTCGCCCACCCTCGCAGTAGTCTATGATGATGTGCACCGAGTTGGAGTCTTCGTACACCCGGTCCACGCCCGCGATGTTGTCGTGGGGGGTGAGCAGGTTGAGCAGCTCCACCTCCCGCCTCACGTCCTCGATGTCGTGCCGCGTGACCAGCTGGTTCTTGGAGATGGTCTTGCAGGCCCAGGGCTCGCCGCTGCCGCGCTTCCTCACCAGGCGCACCGTGCCGTACGTGCCCTTGCCCAGCACGTGACCGACTTCGTAGTCATCCTCCAGTGCAGGCCTGCCGATGGGCATCAGTGGGTGTGGGGGGTCGAAAGGGGGAAAGGAAGGGCGGCAGGATGCACACACAATGTTCTGGGAGCGTGGGCCAGGGCAATGCACTCTCCATGTGGCTCCCAACACTCCTGGAATGCCTCGGGGCCGCAGTGGTGCACTGTTCCCATGCACGATGCAGCCAAGAGGGAGCCCTCCGACACGTGAAGTCCTACAGTCATGCAAACCAATGGCAAGCCCGCTCCATCCCCATCAACACTCGCCCGCTGGACTGCGACCGCACGATGTCCTTCCACATGCTCATGGCCGCTGCCTGTATGGCCGGCAGCTGTGTCGGAGCTGGCTACTTGGGAGCCAGGACGAGGCGTGCCCAGAGAAATGACCTGGCGTGGAGCATCGGGAGCTGGCTGAGCACCCATTAGGGCGTCATCATGTGCATGTATGCAGGATTCGAGTGTCACACACTTGACCTGGCGTACCGGGTGGGAGCACACCGACAGGCCCTCGCCCGAGTCCTCAACCGAGCCTCTAAGTGTGTAGGTAGGACCACCGAGCCTGCGACAAAGAGATGTTCAGTAGTATTCTGGTTCATTCGTGACTGAATACTCGCAAGCCCTGGTCTACATAGCTTCCCCCCTCATGACGAGATCTTCTCGGGAGGGCGCCAGCTCATGGACAGATCACCTGCAGGACCGATGGGGAGTAGTAAATGCCAGATCCTCCTACTCTGGGCCCCGCCATGCTTGGATTAAAATCCAGCGTACAATTTAAAAATGTCACGATCCCATCGGCGAGCAGCGAAAACCCCACCCTGGCTGGGTGTGCTCGTGGATACTGACGAGCGCTGGAGCAACTACTTGTACATCCTAGGCACCGCGTACCCCCGCTTCCTATGGCTCTTCTTCGAATACAGTGGCGATGGCATCGTCTGGCTGGCCATCGCCCTTGCCGCCTTCTTCCAGCCGCGTGCCACCCTCACCCAGCAAACCCTGGTGCTTAATTTCTTGGCGGGGTGGGCTCTAGACCTAGTGCTGGTGGGGACCCTCAAGTTCCTCATCCGCAGGAGGCGACCGGTGTACAACGTGGCAGAGGACTTCCTGGTCGTCGTGGCAGTGGATGCTCACTCCTTCCCGTCTGGGCATGCGGCACGGTACGTTGGTGTGAGGGTGTCAGCGGGAGGACGCATGCTCATGGATCAGGCAGGAATTTGGGGTGCTCTCGGACATGCTTTACCTTTCCCTCTCTTATAACCTCGTATATTCCCCTCCAGAGCCCCCCCCCCACCACACACACGCCCACCCCCCTAATTCGCCCACCCCTAACTCCCCAGCGTGTCATTCATTGCCCAGTTTCTGATCCTTTGCCTGGGCAGAGCCTATCCTCGGCTCTCTTTCCTCGCCATGTACTGGGCTGTGTCCACGGCACTGTCGAGGGCCGCCATGGGTCGCCACTACCTCGCCGACGTGGCGGCGGGCCTGCTGGTGGGCGTGGGTACCGTGCTCCTGGTGTCCAAGGTACATTAAGAGAGACTCATGGCGATAATAGGTGACCCAGTATTTTTGCTTACAACAAGTCTTGCGCCTGGCCCCCCCCCCCCCGCGCGCCATATTACTCATCACAATCACTTCGTTTTGTCGCAGGGTGGCTACTCCAGGGACACGCTGCTCGTGAGCCAGGCGCAGACAAGGGCACTGCGGCAGTGGGCCCAGTCCTGGCTACATGGAAAGGGCATAGCAAGAGCAGGGTAGCTGCCGATCAAGATCTGACGATTCTGTGCAACGAGCTGACCGTATGTCTACCCGTGCTGGAGGATCTGGGAAGGCGCTGTGCCCGCACGTGCTCTGTACAGCTGTGCTGCTCGGGGCCATGCAGTGTGCTTGTTAGGGCGCAGCCTATGTGCAGCCGCAAGGAGCCTGGGATAGGAACATTGTACGGCATCGCTTCAAAAGGCTCGCATGGAGGGAAACAAAGGACCTTCCGTGCTCTGTAGAATCTTGTGTGTAGCCAGAGCCGTACTCTGGTTGAATGCAAACGATGTGTGCTTTAAATACACTCAGTTTATCTTGTCACTCCTCCTAATTTCAATCGAGTGTAAACCTACACGAGAGCTTACCTCCCGTAATGACTCTGCAGGATGCACTCAATGCTCCCTGAGCGCACATTATGGTTTTGCCTCCCCTTGCAGCGGATATTTGGGCAGTTAGATGCAAGGCAGATTCCTGCGAGGTCCCCGATCAAAAACGCGCCTAGGACTCTGAGATCGCGCACTGTCAATTTCCAGGCCTTGGAGCTCAGCTGCAGCATGTGACGGATCCCCGGGCACACGAGCACTCTCTTTGACGTGATATACGCGAGGTCGAAGCTTCGAACCCCTCCCCTCGGCCCAGACGAGTTGGGTCTGAACGGGAGCCCGGTCCTCGATGGTGAAGAAGGTGGCGAAACGAGGCACCAAACGCGCGGCGTCCCAACCCGAGGCTGACAATTCAGACTCCGAGGGCCATGCCACGGTCATCGAGCAGGCCATCGCAGGGGACGCGAGCCAGCCTTCGCCGGCAGGCCCTGCGCCTGGGACGGAGCCCTACCCCCCTCCCAACCCCCCTCCCACAGACCGCCCCGTGCGGGTCTATGCCGACGGTAGGATGCCGGGACGAGGCTTCGAGGTCCGAGCAGTGAAGTCACGAGTGTTCATCCGACCACCAGGCCCCCCGGTCCCCATCGCAGGCATCTTCGACCTCTTCCACTTTGGGCATGCCAGGGCCCTTGAGCAGGCAAAAAAGAGGTGCGCAGGCCTGGACTAGGGAGGGTGAAAAGGTCAGGGAGGCGATGCCCTCGCCTGATCATGGAATGCTGTCAACAGAGCTGTGTGAGCGTGAACTGATGCGCAGCGCTGCTCGTTGATGTACCTGCGCTGTGCGCTCCTGGGGAAGGGCCCAAGCGGCCCCCCGGCCCCCTCCCTCCTCTCTGCCGACCTGTATCCCTTTGTTGCAAGCCTTGCCATCCCTCAACCTGCGTTGACCCTGTCACCATCAATCCCCTTTTCCCCCCTCCCATCCCTCCACTCTGCTTGTAGACCAACCCTCCCCCTTCCCCCCCCCCCCCCCTGGATCCAGCTTCCCCGACGTGCACCTGCTGGTGGGGGTCTGCAACGACGAGGTGACCCACCGGAACAAGGGCAAGACTGTGATGACGGAGGGCGAGCGGTACGAGGCGCTGCGCCACTGCCGCTGGGTGGACGAGGTGGTCCCCGACGCACCGTGGCACATCACCGAGGAGTTCCTTGACGCGCACGCCATCGACTTTGTGGCTCACGACGCGCTGCCCTACGCGGACGTGACGGGGGCCTCGGACGACGTGTACGGTTTCGTCAAGCGCCTGGGGCGGTTCAAGGAGACGCAGCGCACCGAGGGCGTGTCCACCTCTGACCTCATCCTGCGCATAGTCAAGGACTACAACGAGTACGTGCTGCGCAACTTGTCGCGTGGCTACTCGCGCAAGGACCTGGGCGTGAGCCTGCTCAAGGAGAAACGCATCAAGGCCTCCGCCTCCATGCGCGACTTCTCGGCGCGCATGCGCGACGGCCGCCTGCGCGTTGCTGACGGCATCCGCAAGCACATGAACCCGCGCCTCCGCGTGCTCCCCGCCGAGGTGGAGCGCAATGTCAAGGACTTTGCCACCAGCGTGGAGAGCCTGGTGGACAAGGTGGCCTCCGGCGACCTGGGCGTGGAGCTGATCGAGAACATGGACCGCCTGGTCAGCGGCTTCATCGGCAACTTTGAGCGCCGCTACTCGCGCTTCGAGAAGAGCATCAAGTCGCTGGGGCGGAACATGCGCCGCAACTCCCAACCCCTCCTCCAGAGCCCATGATGCGGAGGGGGTCTCGGGGGGGGGGGGGAGGGGTGATCAGGAGGGGGAGCGTCGGCGGCCTGGCTTGGGCAAGGGTGGCCCGGTGGATCGCGCCGTCAGGTCCCTGAGACAAGCCCAACGGCAGAATGGCCTGGCTTCACAGAGGAGATCCTTTTGGGCCGTATACCGGACCCCCTGATCCAACAGGGCTCATCCACCACAGTTCCCACCCCCGCGCCCCCGCATGGCTCATAGCATGGGCCCGCCGGCCCCGGGCATTCAGCCCGACAGCACCCTACTACCGTGCCCTGGGTGCCCCTGCAAGGCTTGCAGGGACCCCGGCGTGGCATGTGCGCAGCCATTTGCCACAGCCCCAGGGCTGGACCATCCTGGTGTTGACATGTCGCGCTGCAGCGAGTTCCAGTGGTGGCGCGCCTTTTGCCCCCGCAGCGTTGCTTACCCTCCACTGAAGCCACGGCATGGTGTGCGCCTGTCATGCTTTCAAAGCTGCCTCCCCGGTGCTGTGCAATGGCTCCCCGAGGATGCAGACTGTGAGGCTATGCATGCATGGACAGTTGAGATTGCCGGCGTCCAACTTTCACACTGTGACGAGGAGGGCTCCCTGTAATGAAGCGCCCTTCGTTCAGATTTTGTTTTGTCAGTTTGTCCATGTGCAGTAAGTGCTGAGGGAGCCAAGGCTCCCATAAGGCCAGAAGAGGACAAGGGGCCAGCCACCGATCACCCCAAGGACGTTCCATGTGCTCATAACTGCATAATGAATTCTGCCCGACTGAATCTTGTGTGTTGGGGCCTGGTGGGGTCCATTTGACTCTAGACAGGATTAGAAGCAGCAATGGCACAAGCTGCCAGTCTTCACAAAGAAATAAGAAACTGTCTGCTGCTGCTAAGCAGTATTTGAATCTTGTCATTCGTGAGCATGCATGCAATGAGCCTTGTGAGCTTTGTTTGACCGGCCTTGGGTTGTGCTTGGGTAAGCTGTAGACGTCCACTCTCCCGTTACTTGTGCATGTGCAGCTGCTGGCAACGCCCTAGCGCGCGGGCCGGCCGGCGTTGATGCGAGGGTTTTACTGCATCGGTCCCAACCCGACACCGTAAAGGCGGTCTGCCCATACGTTTCTACCCTGAATAATACAATATCCACAGCTGATATATACACAACTGATCACTCCCTCCCACAAGTCACCATGGTGGACTTCACCCTGAAGCCCCACCCGACCATCCCCAAACCGGAGGGACCCCTCCTGGTCTGCATCATGGATGGCTGGTACGTCGTATAGTTGATCTTCATTAGGCTTTACACGCGCATTGACCCACATCCGATGTCTTGCCGGTCCTCCGAGGATGCCCCCCCCCCTCCTCCAAAACCCTTTCCCCGTGGTGTGTCCCGGCAGGGGCGTGAACGTGGAGGATGAGTACAACGCGGTACACGTGGCGGAAACCCCCACATACGACGCAGCGAGGAAGGTGCCTGGACGCTTCCGCTCCATCCTGGCGCACGGCACTGCCGTGGGTCTGCCCAGCGACGCCGATATGGGCAACAGCGAGGTGGGCCACAACGCCCTGGGCGCCGGCCAGGTGATCGACCAGGGCGCCAGCCTGGTGGACAAGGCGCTGGCCTCCGGATCCATCTACGAGGGTGCGTTGGGTTGCTTGTTGGAGGGAGCTGGGGTGGAGCCTCGTCGTTCAGGGGATTGATGAGGCGGAGGCTTGCACATGTCTGACTGTGGTAATGCTTGTCATGAGCAGCATCGAGTGCATTCAGACATGTCAATGCATCTGTGGTGAACGAGGCATCTTCCTCCCTTCTCCCTCGCTGTACGGGGCATTGCCTGGCCCGGGTCGGCCCATGCTGTGGCGCCTCAGCATCCATCACAGTACCCTAAGGTCGAGGTCCTCCCCCCCCCTCACCACTTCCCACCCTTGCAGGTGAGGGCTGGGCCCATATCTCCGAGGCCTTTGCGGAGAACACCCTGCATCTCATCGGCCTCCTCTCCGACGGCGGCGTGCACTCCCGCACCGACCAGCTCTTCGCGCTTGTGCGCGGCGCGGCGGACCGCGGCGCCAAGCGCATCCGCGTGCACGTGCTTACCGACGGCCGCGACGTGCCCGACGGCTCCAGCGTCGGCTTCGCCAAGGAGCTGGAGGCGGTGCTGGCGGAGGTGCGCGGCCGCGGCGTGGACGCGCTGATCGCCTCCGGCGGCGGCCGCATGTGCGTGACCATGGACCGCTACGAGGCGGACTGGGAGATCGTGCGCCGCGGCTGGGCCGCGCACGTGCTGGGCGAGGCGCCTCACACCTTCCCCGACGCGGTCACCGCCATCACCACCCTGCGGGCCGAGGGCTCCGCCGACCCCGTCTCCGACCAGTGGCTGGACCCCTTTGTCATCGTGGGCGCCGACGGCGAGGCGGTGGGCCCCGTGCGCGACGGCGACGCGGTGGCGGTGTTCAACTTCCGCGCCGACCGCGTGTGCCAGATCAGCAAGGCCTTCGAGTACGAGGAGTTCGCCGCGTTCGACCGCGTGCGCTGGCCGCGCACGCGCTTCGTAGGGCTCATGCAGTACGACGGCGACCTGAAGCTGCCCGCCCGCTTCCTGGTCCCGCCCCCCGCCATCTCCGGGGTCAGCGGCGAGGTGCTGGCGCGCAACGGCCTGCGCACCTTTGCCTGCAGCGAGACGCAAAAGTACGGGCACGTGACCTTCTTCTGGAACGGCAACCGGTCGGGGTACTTTGACGAGGCGCTGGAGACGTACGTGGAGGTGCCCAGCGACCGCGTGCCCTTCAACCAGCTGCCGCTGATGAAGGCGCGCGAGATCTGCGAGGCGGGGAAGGAGGCGCTGCGCTCCGGGCGCTACGACACCGTGCGCATCAACTTTGCCAACCCGGACATGGTGGGGCACACGGGGGACCTGGCCGCCACCGTGGAGGCCTGCGCCTGCGTGGACGCCGCCGTCGGCGAGCTCCTGGCGCTGACCGACGAGCTGGGCGGGCGCTGGCTGCTCACCTCCGACCACGGCAACGCCGACGACATGGTCCAGCGGCACAAGAAGACGCTGGCCCCGCTGCGCGACGAGGCGGGGCAGACCGTGGCCCTGACCAGCCACACCCTGGCCCCCGTCCCCCTGGCGGTCGGCGGCGCGGGGCTGCCGGAGGGGGTGGCCTTCCGGGAGGACCAGCCCAAGGCGGGGCTGGCAAATGTCGCCGCAACCATCTTCAACCTGCTGGGTTACGAGGCGCCGGGGCACATGGAGCCCAGCCTGCTCAAGGCCTGAGCGACGGGTGGGCCATGATATTGCAATCGAGTGTGCGAGGCGACCTGCCGGAGCGCCGGCCACACCGGGTGCCGAGCAAGGCCGGCGCCGGCCACGCACGGCGACGCACGGGGGCTGGAACCCCCCCAAAGCACAACCCACACGCCGTGCGAGGGCTCGGAAAGATGCCTATTGAAGAATACGCCCCCATCCTTCACAAATACACCACTTCTGCCCCGTGTACACCTGACATTGCATGCAGCTGTTCATTCGGCCCCGGGCCCAGGCAGCCGCGGGGCGGCGTCTTTTGAAGGAAAACCTCCCGCGGTGCACCCTTGTAACCATTGCTGCTTCCTCCGCTGCAGGGCACACCAGGTATCTTCTTACAGGCAGTCTGCAGTTTGCTAGTAGACACTATGCAGGCTTGGGAGGTCCTGACTGGGGATGGGACAAGCAAGGGCAGGCCACTGTGGGTCGGAGCCATGCGAGCATGACCACATTGATGGGTGCATGGAGTGTTCAATCATGCAGGGCACAGGAAGCTAGGCTGATGGGTAGTCATGGGAGCACGGCATGCAGAGTTGGGAATCAGTACGAAGGTCGGCTAGGGCTGGCACCCCCAGAATACTACTTCTTGGAGTGGTCCAGCTGTGGGGAAGAGGAGAGGGACGGCTGGGCGCGAGTAGAGTGTCATTCGGGAGACCGACGGCGCGCAGGGCATACCAAAAGGCACGACGTGAGAGGGATGCATTGCTGCAGCAAATGTGTCTCTGCTTAGCCACAAGAAAACACCACAGCACAAGTCCCACTCACCCCCAGAAGGTGCTTGGCCTTGTCAGCTGCAACATGGGCAACATGCCCCACTCCACCAACAGCCGATTGCACGACCTGCTCCACGGTGTGCACCACCGCCTCCGTCTTCTCAAACACCTGATCGCGGCCATGCACGACAGTAGACCGGTTACCCTCCAGCTCGTCCCCCGCCGAGTGTCGGGTGGTTAGCGCGTCCCCGGTCCCGGCCGTGGGAGCGGCCGTGTACTCGGGGGCCAGCGTCGCTCCCGCATTTGTGGGGCCCTGGATGGGAGTCACCTGCACGTGGCGGAAACCGGTCCAGGGCTCCAAATCGTCCCATCGCGACACTACCCCGGCGATCGCGACGTGAATACGCAATCCTGTCCTGGCACGCGCGTGAAACAAGCACCCCAGACCCCAACCTGCGGCCTCGTGGCTTCAAGGGCAGGGTCGGCGACGGCGGGTGACTGTAGGATCATATCAGAGGGAGTGTATGAGTACATGGAGAGAGACGTGCTGGATCGCGGGACTGGCACGAGTCAGGGCATTTCTCACCTCGGACACTTGCTGCGCCAGGTTTGGGGTTTGCTCTGCCATTTTCGCGACTGTGTGAAGGGTAAAAGGTGTAGAACTCTATTTCGGGTGCGAGAAGTGCGATTGCATTTTTCTTAAGGATGCGGTCATCGGCGAGCACATTACCTAAAGGGGCACGTAGAGCCCTTCTCCGAAATAAATGAAGCTGAGTGGAAGGTCCTCCAAAGTAGACTTGAGTTAAGGATGGCAAAGCTTGGAGTTGGTTCAAGCTTCTACACGTCTTGGTTGCCAGGTAAATTAGGCCAGTTATAGACAGCGACAGATTTGTGGTTACTTGATTCATGGAGGCCCTGGCGCTCTGTCAAACTCTGTGGCAACAGCAACGATGACCAACTATTCACGGGCTGTGCGCAAGACCCAAGAAATGGAGGCACTACTGTCAGCTCCTTGTTGAATTTTCTCTCAGTACACAGGTAATATACATACAACTTCTTCAACAAGCATGCGCTAATAGGGGTGATGGTGCGAAAAATGGCACCCTGATGGCACAGGCCTCACAGAGAAAGAAGATGCATCCTTAAAACCGAGTGGAAACCTCAAGCACACGCCTGTGCTGTGGAAGTCACTTCTTGCCAGACTGGCTGGCCTTGATGTCTCCCTCGTCCTTCTCATTTGCATACCCTCCCGCCGTGGATGCACAGCATTCGTTCAACTGCGAAGATCAGGAGTGATATTGATGGAAGGGTTCATTAGATATGCTGTCGATGATCATGCTGAGCAGGTCAGAGTGTGTGGGTGTCACCTCGACCCTTACCCCAAACTTGGCTTACCGACTTCTGCCTCTCCTCCACTGTGGGCTCCTCGGTCTTGCCCAAGGTCTGATTGAAGATGCTCGTCATCCCGCTCACTTTATCGGCCACGGTCTTGTGGATGGATGTCTCTTTGTCGGCCATGGCGCCCTAGACGGTGCGTGGGGAAAGGCCTCAAAGGGGTTCGAGGGGTGGCCTACTTACTCTCGTAGGTTCAGGTAGAAGCTTATCTCGTTGGTCTTCAAACCCTGGGAACACAGTAATGTAAGTAACGCGCAACGCGCAGCGGGTTTAATATGTTTGAGAAGATTGATGACGAAATCCCGACATGAGAGTTGATTCGTTGGCGCGCAAGTGCGAGTGGACAGCAGGTCACAGCCTGGCATGTCGTCAATAGCATTGAAATGCCACTTGGATGGCATATGAGTGCCAAACAGAGGGCGACCTGCTTGGGCAAGTGAGATTCGTGTTCGACAAAGGGTGGGTATTGCAACAATCCCGCAGTGACGTCGCCGTCGCTCATTAAGCCATTCTTACAATGTGCGCCATGGTGCAAGGGAGTCTTTTCAGCTCCACTACACCGGCTCCGACGGCGCATGGCTTGCGGTCATGCTGCTTGCTGCCCAGGAGCAGCAAGGTGTTCCTGAAACCTCTCGCTCTTGCCACACCACTGAGGGGCCGCGCCGGCTTTGCAGCACGCTGCCGAGCACCAGCCGATGATGACTTCTATGAGGAGCTCGCTGTAGCGGCTGAGGAGGGAGAGGAGCAGGTGGGGAAGAGGATGTGTGTGCATGGCTGTGTGTACTGGGGTGGCCTTCCACTTCCCTCATGTCACTGTGCTCTCCTCTGGAGCGGGAGCCCCGCTTTGTTCCACATATGGCCGCAGATACCTGGGTCGTACCGGGACGCCATGTCCAAGCAGACCCCGCTGGGCAGAGCCGTGGAGGATGCAGTAGCAGACCTGGATGCCCTGGTCCTGGCTGTGAGTCGAGAGGGAAGGAGGGAGGCAGGGGTGATGTGCGTGCCAGGGTGGCTTCAGAGCAGAGGATGGAGGTGATTGGCTCGGTGAGATCCTTGCGCCTCATAATGTCTGAGTTCACAGGAGAAGGAGCAACAGGAAAAGGCTGCGGAGCTCCTGAGCAAGCTGGGCGTGTCGTACCACCCAAACCCTTCGCCATAGCAGCCAGCAGCAGGCTCATGCAGTGATGCTCGTCTCCCTGCCCGGTGCACATGCGCGGCACCCTCTCATGTTACACTGATGAAATGGGAGTCGTACTGCGCAGCGCATCAAAATGGTTCAGCTGTCGAAAACATTAGAGGATCGGGGAACAGGGGGCCAGCGTGCGGGGTGCTCGCCGGCCCTGCCACTTAACAAAAAATGATCACGGGGGTGGCACAGGGGCAAGCGCAGGACAGGGAGCGGGTCGGGGCTGGATATCGCGCCAGGGTCCCGACGGGGAGAGGCCAATCCTCCATGGGACCGACCCCGGGGGGCCGGAGCAACGAGAGGTACATTCCAAAACTAGTGGGGAAGCCGCGAAGGGGCACACTGCCCCTCTCCCCGGCGATGTGGGGTGGGGGAACCAGCATGGCTGGTGGGGTACAGGAGGAAGAGGTATGTCGAAGGGGAGGGAGCCGGGGAAAGGCACAGGTTTGGCTCCGTTCCCCACAAAGACAAGGTGACAGTACAGATCATCATGAGGGTTTTCTGGTTCAAAAAGTGAAAAGGGAGGGAAAACTTGCCCGGGGAGCGGGAGGGGTGGTTCCGTGGGGCTTGGTGGAGGGATGTGGTGGTTGGCGTGGAAAACGCCCTCTGGGCGTCATTCCTGCGTCCAGCAGCCCCACGCGCGCGCATCTGCCTGCGCCCTCGTCCACACCTTCTCAGGCGCGGACGGCGACGCTGACGCCCAGGGCACCCCCCCCCGCTGCGCCGGCCTCGGCCTCGACCTGGGCCTCCAACGCGTCGAAGTCAAAGCCACGCGCGGCACCGACGGCGCGCATCCTGTCGGCCGTGGCGCAGTGCACGGTGCGCGCGACGGCCAGGCCGAGCGCGGCGGCCGCCAGCGCAGGCCCGGCGTCCAGGCCGCGCCGCTCCGCCTCGCGCGCGCGGTCCAGCGCCTCCAGGTGCAGCGTTCGCAGCATGGGCAGCGCGCACTGGTAGTAGGGCCAGGTCAGGCCGCGCGGCGCGCCCAGGCCCAGCGCCAGCTCCTCCGCGCTGAGCGCCGCGGCGGCCAGGGCCACCGTCTCTGCCAGTCGCCCCACCACCGTGGCGCAGGGGGTGAAGGTGGGCAGCGCGGCGCGCACCCCGGACACCGCCGCCAGCACGCGTACCGCCTCGGGCGCGGAGAAGGACGCATGGCGCAGCGCGCCCTGCACGGCCGGCGCAAACTCGGGGCGGCCGCGGCGGAAGGCCTCGCCCAGGCCGTCCCAGCGCGCCCAGGCCTCCAGCGCGGCCAGGGTCTCCTGGGGGCGCAGGGCGCCTCCATGCAGGCCCAGCGCGGCGTGCAGCGCGCGGGACAGGCGCGCCACAAAGTCAAGGAAGAAGGCACGGTCGCCGCCCTCGCCCACGCGCAGCCAGCTGACCAGGCGCAGGAGGAGGACCAGGGGGGTGACACCCGCACCCTCCAGCTCACAGGCGCTCGCCAGGCAGGCGTCTGTGGTGGGGATGGGTGGGGATGAGTGGAGACGTGAGTAAGTGGAGCACGTCCAGTGGCGGCTGGCGGGGGAATGGAGAGGCTGAGGGTAACAACCACGAACAATGCCCAGCATCCCTGGTGACAGAGCAGGGGGCTGGGAGGGACTCGGGGGTGCCGCGCCATGGGGCAGGGGCCCGATGAACATGAGCACGATGAGCCAACCCACACTACGTGCTCACCGATGAACGAGCGGAAGGGCAGGGACTGGACCAGGTGGGAGGGGCCGGGCCGGGTCCCGGCAGCCAGGTGGTCGACGGCTGCAACGCGCTCCAGGGCGGCCAGACGGGGGACGAGGGTCATCTGGTTGAGGTGGCGCATGTCCAGCAGGTCGTCAGTGTCCTGCAGGGGGGGTGGCGAGGCGGGTCAACGGACAGTACGACCGGGACGCGACCTCGGCGTCGCGACCCCGCACGTCTCACCAAGCAGCCCAGATCAGGCCACGCACCGTCCAGTAGTAGTCGAAGGGGTAGTAGGCGGGCCTGGTGAGTAGACTGTCGCTCCGCACCGGGGGAGTCCAGAGCTCGGAGGTGGGGGCACCAGCCACCGCGGGGGCCAGGGTGGAGACCACGGGCAGGCGCGCCTTGTGGCTATCCCTCGGGGACACCAGTTTGCCTGCCATGGTGCCGGCCTGGCGGGGTGTGCGCCTGCGGGGTGCCCGGAGAAACGGTTAGATGATCTGGACCCGCAAACAGCAATGCCTCACACCACGGGCAACGCGGGCCTGCCAGTTTGATTTGGTGAGCATCAAAAATCTCACGTATGCTGCGGTGATAATGCACACATCGCCGGACAGGCCCGCAGCGTGGGCCGCCCGAAGGCGCCCGCGCGAGGGCGGGCAGAGCTGGAGATGTCCATCGGCGCGCTCGAGTGCTATATAAGGTTCGTCTACGTATCACTGAGATTGTTAAAACGTCACAGGCATGCGTAAAGCTATGGGGAGCCTTTACCGGCACACACTTCTGGAATAATTTCACGAGATTCGGCGAGCTGTCAGAAACCCTAGGGCTGTAGTACCGTGTCGGAGGATTTGCATGGATGTCGGAGCATCACATCGGTACCTGCCGGCCCGATGAATCAAGACACTGTGTTCAACGGGAGAACGGAGACGGCTGAATTCGGGGCCTCGGTTGCAATGCATGTGTCAAGTTTTCGTTATCGGGACACCTTAGATAGACCCCAATGGTAAGCTTCGACGGATCTTAGGGGGACCGAAGCTTAGAGCTTGAACCCGGCCCCTTGCACAGACAGTTTTCGCCAGGCATTCGCTGGGCATCATTTGGGGGCCCCTGGCACCACGAAGCTTTTCAATCGGTTGAGCCTCGCAGGCGCAGTGCCCATCCCATTCCCATCCTGTATGATTATGTATAGTCAGCGACTCTGAAACTCAGTCGAGGCAAATTTTCGGTGATCGAAAAGGACCTCTGATCCTGCTTCTCATGGGGCAGCTTGGAGTCCCATCAGCTCTGCCACTCAATGCTGGTGTGTCTAGACGTTCCAGTGACAGCTTGCAATAAAGCTGTTGCATGTCTTCATCGTAAAACTTGACAACTCGAATGCATCATCTCATGGTTGGCGAGCCACCACATTCTCATCAGCTCCGACGGTCACCAAACCCTTTGCCCGGCATCAGCCCCCACCCACCCCCCGAGAGCGAAACTCCATTGATGATTCACCCTATATCGACTGAAATACTATAGCAGGCATCTGGTGTGGATTTCACTCGTGGTCTAGATCCTGTTCTTGTGTAAATCGCGTCCGGGCCTTTCATGCTAGGCGTCTCGAGTACCGCCTTTAGAGGGCTTTGCCTGAGCCCAGCAGCGGGCAAGCATCATGTAAAGACTGCTCATGCTCACTGCAATCGCCGCAAGGTGGGGGAAGGTGTGGCAACAGCCCCAGCATGCGGATGAGGGCACGCGATCATGCCACACGGCTGCAACCAGGCCAGATCCCACCCATAATGCAGGCCCCGGGACGGCTGACCGCCACCATCGCCCACCAGCCTGCGGCAGGCAGAAGTGTCAAGGTCGTCACTCCCAGCTGTCCCCTCGCCTTCGGAGACGAGCTTGTCGTGGTGGGCAGCCACCAGGGCTGGAAGCCTGAGGCTGGCACGGTGCTGACCTGGACCGAGGGCGACACATGGGTCGGTGAGCTCTCCAAACAACTCACTGACCCAGCCCTGGAGTTCAAGGTGAGGCTGGCGCTGGCCTCGTGGCATCTGTGGGGTGGGAGGTCGCCATGATGGCTATCTGTGAGGACCGGGCACGCTGGCTTGCCTCGTGACATTGACAATCTCAACGAGCATACAGACTTGGCTGAAGACTGCCACTGCCTTGATTTTTATGGATGAGGCCCCACCCTGTTGCACACCTTTGACTCTGTCCTTGCAGCTGGTGGTCCGCCATGGGGACGGGTCCACTGACTGGGAGTCTGGGGACAACCGCAGCGTGCAGCTCCCGCCAGGACCCGCAGTGGTGACGTGCACCTGGGGCGATGCCAGCAGGACCCTGGTGGATCAGGAGGTGCGAGGGCGGCATGGGCAGGGCTGGTTTATGGTTCTGCTGCTGGTGCCACCGTCAGGCGGAGCAAACCGGATCCCTGCTATGCCAATCCACTGCAGTCTCCTGCACCCGAGGTTGAGGAGCAAGAGAGGCCAGGAGCTGAAGTAGAGGGGGAGGACGGTGCGGGCAAGGCAGAGAGTGATGTAGCGGTGGAGCCGAGCCCAGGGACAATTGTCGCGGAGCAAGCGTCAGGGCCCACCGAAACCACCGCACCCGCCACGGCAGCACAGGCTGAGGCACCGAATGGGGCAGATGGAGCGAGCCAGAAGCAGGCTCAGGAGCAGCAACCAGGCGAAGATACTGGAAGCACTCCAGCTGCGCCATCTGCCCGCCAAGAAGGCACCCAGGCACATCAGGCGGCGACACGAGGCAACATTTCGGCGCCCAAACCAGTAGCAGAGCCGGACTCCGTAGGCGACAAGGATCCGACGCCTGCACCCGCCGCTGCAGTGTCCTCGGAGCCGCCTGCCCCAACCCAGGCATCCCCACCAGCTGCAGCACCTGCTCCCGCCAAAGGGGAAGGCTCGGGAGCGGAGGAGCCGGTCCCAGAAAAGCATCACCCAACAGAGGCATGGGAGAGCCGCCCAGACGGAGAGGCCACCCTGTACACATTCAAGGACGCAGGCGTGGAGGAGAGCGCTGCCACCCTGGCCGCGAGGCAGCTGCTGTCAGACCTGCCAAAGGAAGCGGTGGCTGACCTCAAGAGCGGCCGGCAGATTGACACGGGAGGTGTAGAATGATCGGACTTGGAACTGAGCCAGAATTGACTGGGCTACAAGAATGCTGTTGACGTGGTACAATTTACTCCCCTGTTCGCATGCCCGGTGACGTTTGACGATCGATGTACGCTGACAGACGGACCTTCACGGATTGGCTGAGCGGTCGTCATGTCGACATACGATTGCAACCCTCGTTCGATTCCATTGCACAACCCTGAAGAGGCCTTACATTGCAATGTAACCTATCAACAGGATTCAAGCTGAGATGGCGGCCTTGCGGCTTTCACAAGTGCCTCTTGCGAGGACCCGCGCAACCCCCATGTGTAGTCCAGGCAGGAGACTTGCTCCACGCCATGACTCCCTCCCATGCAGCTGCATGAGCCCCAGCACCGCTTTTCAAGCTGCTACCTTGGCTGTCATCCCACTGTATGGGGCGATGGTCACAGCCCCACGCAGTCCGAGGGTGTCTCAGGTACTTGCATCCCCCGTGATACCAGTTGCTGGAGCTGCCATGTACATTGCTCTGGCCCTCGGCTGGGGCGCCTGGTCGGAGTTGTGTCAGCTCCAGTTGTGGCATCAAGGCAGTGGGCCCCTGGCATGGCTACCATCAAATGAGGGTCTTGCCATGGCATTCACACATGCCAATCTGGCCGCCTTAACCTGGATTCATATCATCACCCTGGACTGGCTGCAAGCAAGGTGAGAACCCAGTTGTCCAAATGGTAGCTTATCTAGGCCGTCCTGTTCATGTGGGCGGACGTTGCAGCAAGGGCACCCCTAGATGCTGTTCACAGATTACCCACAACCCCCTATGCCCGAGTGCTACTGTCATCTCATCAAACTGCAGATGGGTCTACTTGGATGGTCTTCGATCCCACATTCCCACATTACACTCTGCGATTCTCTGTTTCATGGTTGGCCCACTGGGAGTGCTGAGTCACCTGCTGACCAAGTACATAGTTGGAATGCACCGTAGTAGCAATGCGCAGCCCTCTGCTGCTTAGCGTCTTTTGCCAACAACCTGCGGCTTGCTTCAACATTGGCATTTATTTCACGATTCCCATACCATGTTTGTAATGAGGACCTCCTCCAGTCCCTGCTTCGTTGCCCAATGAAATTCAACACAAATGCAATCATGGTTACACCCCGCGGGAGGGGAGCGCGCTAGCCAGTGAGAGTCCATCAATCGACCTTCACGGTGTCCCAAGGCCCATTTGCTGCAATTCATGCTCATAATGCTGGATACGCAATTCTCTGAAATTGTGTTTTCAAAGAAAGGGGCTCGGATCCGGCAGGGGACCAACATGGGCTGACCTTGCAGGATTTTCTTCTCGTTCGCTCGAATGAAGCGTCAGAAGCCCGCATGGCTTTCGAACTGGACGCTGCGCAAAGTGATCTTTCTATTTCTCGGCCTTATTTCGTTTCTGCTTCTACAAGACATCGTTGTCATCGGATCGCGACCCCGAAGAGGCCGGGGCAAGGCCTGCCAGCCGGATGACGAGGCAAGAATGGGAGGGGTAGGCTTGACGTCCACGTCTGTGTGGATTCGTGCGTACGACTGATTCCTATGGTCTGTCACGAAGGTTGGCACTGAACGGATCCCATACTCCTGACATCTCTGGTAGGGATCCTGGAGCATAGGCCTGTTCAAGGGTGAATCTCCGCTGAACCTGACGCCTGTGGAGGCCTGGACGCCCCGCCTCAACAGCTCAGTGGCTTGGCCCGTTGCCAACCCAGTTTTCACCTGTGCAGAGGTGACAGATCCACACTCCAATTTTGGTGAGCACTGCTGGGCTTTCTTTGGAGGTTGAGGGTGGGATCTGCAGCTGAAAAGCCAAGCTACACCTGGCACCAAACTGTGGTGGGGTGCCCTGAGTTCTCACTCGGGACTTCCTCACACCAATGATCTTCCTGATTCAGTGGCGGACCCTTTCCTCTGGATTGATGAGGAGAGCGACGTGTGGACGCTGTTCTTCGAAACCAAGAGCAACAGAGACATGCAAGGTGGCCGGGGTGCACTGCACTTGGTATGGATTGCAGGATGAGTGTGGAGCCTTAATCCGAATGGAAGTAACCATACTCTCACTGGAACGGCTGAATGCATGAAGTCTGACCGTCACGACAGCGCGCGTCCCTCTGTTGTCTGTCCATGCAGGCGATATTGGCGTCGCGGAGTCGCGAGATGGCGGAGCCAGCTGGCGATATCTGGGCATTGCCCTGGATGAGGCGTGGCACCTGTCCTACCCCCACGTCTTCAGCTGGGAGGGCCAGGTGGGTGGCGGCTGAGGGTTTGTGCATGGGTGGGTCAGCCGTCTGCCGTAGCCCGGTGGCTGCTTTGTATGTATTGAGTATTGCCGACTGACATAGCCCTCATCAGGAGGGTGGCTTGTGCTGTCCAAGCTTACTTCAAGCCCTGTTTACGCAGATGTACATGGTTCCGGAAGGGTACCAGAGCGGCGCGCTGCGGGTCTACATCGCGGAGGAGTTCCCCCTGAAGTGGAGGTTCCTTGCCAAGCTGCATCCCCAGCCCCTCATCGACGCGAGCATCGTGGAGTTTGAGGGCCGGTGGTGGCTCTTTGCCACCGACGCAGTGAGTGTGGCGCCTTGCGGGTGTGGGGTATGGGGTGTGGCGCGCTTGAGGAGGTCAGCGGCCAGGTGTTGGGCCTACGCTGGAGGAGGGCGCTGACAGTGTCAAGCTGGGCGCCGTGCAGATGGAGATGTGCACTCCTCGACCCAAAACTTCCCTGACCCCGGCTCCCTGCCCTCACCTCCTCCCTCTCCTCCAGTCGGCGTCGGGTTCCTCACGCTGCCGCATGCTGAGCCTCTGGCATGCGAGCAGCCCCCTGGGACCCTGGTTGGCCCACGCTGCCAGCCCCGTGATGTCTGGGGATGCAGCCGCCGGCGCTCGCAGCGGGGGCCGGGTGGTGGCCGTCGATGGGAAGCTGGTCCGGTTCGGACAGGACTGCGCTGGCGGCTACGGCCAAGGGGTGCGGGGAAGTGGTACCCTGGGGAGGGGTACTGCTTGGCGCGGGCCTGCCCCTGATTGCAGGGAGTGCGGGGAGGTGGCGACGATCATGCTGCTGCCGGCGAGCCCCCCCTCGCGACCACATCCGAATTGCAGTCGCCCCCCCCCCGACTCACAACGGAACGCAGCTGGTAGCATATCGCGTGGATGTGCTGACGCCGACGGAGTTCCGCCAGACCCGCGTCCCACTGGAGTTTGGCGCCGCCGGCAAGCATGGCATGCGGGCGTGGAACGGCGCTCGGCACCACCACCTGGACGCGCACCAGGTCTGCTGGTGGGCGGGGTGTTCTGTCCCTGGATGGGAATGGGTAGGGTCTCAGGGGTCGAGAGCTGAGCACATGGATGTGTCCAGGACTGCGGTGAGGGTCACGGCGAACGCGTCCCATTGGTCAACATGGAAGGAGCACTCCGCAGGGAAACACATCCCTTCCGCTGCATCGCCCCCTGCGCAGCTGCGGGACGGCAGCTGGGTGGCGGTCATGGACGGCGACTGGCAGGCGTCCGGGGCGCTGAGCTGGCGCATGAAGCGCGACGCCCTCCTGCTCCTCGCGCTGTGGGCCGGGGCGGCCGCGTCGGCGCTGGGCGGCCGGCGCGTGGCGGCGCTGGTGCCCGCCCTGCCCTGCGCCGGCGGACCCCGCGAGCGGCGCCGCAAGCTGCCCCGCGCGCGCGCCCCCGGCGCCTGCGCCGGCGGGGGCGCCTCGCGCCGCGCGTCCGCCCTCCTCCGCCGGCTCGGGCCCCGGGCGCGGATCGCGCTGGCCGCCGGCGTGGCGGCGGGCTTGGCGACGGCCGCCGCGCTGGGCGCGCTGGGCTGGTACTACGGCACCACGCTGCACGCGCGCGTGGGCGCGGCGCGCGCGCCCCGCGTCGGCGGCCAGGCCAGCGCCTACACCGTCATGCTGCTGAGCCACGGCCCGCGCGTGCCCACCCTGAAGGTCACCGTCGGCTGGGTCAGCCAGTGCCCCTCGGGTGCGGGTGGCTGTTGAGGCGGTATTACCTCTGTCTCTTAGAGGGGGTTCGGCGGGGTGCCAGGGGGGGGAATGTGGTGGTGGGCCCGGCAATGTGATCATCATCACAAGGATGGGGCCCGCCATCGGGCAGTGCCCTGCCTCCAGCACAAACAGAAACCCGACCTTTGGGTCGGCGCTGTCCTTCCTGCTTCCCAACCCCCCTTCCCCCCTCCTGCAGTGGCCGAGGTGGTGATCATCTGGAACTCGGGAAAAACCCCGGACACCAGCGGGTGGGCGGCGCCCGGCGGCGCGCCCGTCCGGCTGCGCCTGTCGCCCCGCAACGAGCTGACCAACCGCTTCCTGCCCGACCCGCTCCTGCGCACGCGCGCGGTGCTGACGCTGGACGACGACATCCTCTCCACCTGTGCCGATGTGGAGGCGCTGTTCGCGGCCTGGCGCCGCGACCCAGGCCTGCTGGCGGGGATGTTCCCGCGCCTGGCCGGCGCGGGGCCGCCCGCGGCCTACGCCGGCGAGCAGGAGGTGTACCGACGGGGCAGGTACAACATGGTGCTGACGGGGGGGATGGTGCTGGATGCCGACCGCATCTTCCCGCTCTTCAACAGCCCCCAGTATGCAGAGGGTGAGCGTGGCTTGTGCAGGTGTTGGTGGCGGAGTTCGGTTTTCTGGGGCAGCGGGAGGCAAACTGGTGCTGTGCCAAAGGGGCGGCACTCCCCTGCCCAGAGTGTGTGCTGGCGATGATGATGCCGCCAAGTCCTCCACCCTGGCCGGGGGCATGGGGAATCAAGATGATCTCAGCTCCTAGCCGGCCCGCAGACTGCCGGTGCATTGCATACCGCTAGGTTTGCCCCCCCTCCACTCTCCCCCCCCCAAAACTACCCCCACATTTTGACATGGCCCCTGCGGGCACCCGTCGCCCAATCTTTCTTCCAGCCCTTGAAACCGGGTGGTCTCAAGCGCTCGCGTGGAGTGCAGTACAAACCATGTCTCCTCCCCATCCTCACTCGCAGAGAGGGCCTACGTGAACAGCGTGACCAACTGCGAGGACCTGCTGGTGAACTTTGTGGTGGCGGAGGTCAACGCGGCGCGCGGCAACGTCTCTGCCTCCATGCTCAGGCCGCGGCGCCGGCTGGACATCAGCAAGCTGATGGGCCAGGGCGTGGGCATCAGCCGGGACCGGGGCAGCCACCAGGCAAAGCGGGAGGCCTGCGTGGAGCGCTTCGCCCAGCGCCTGGTGATGCCCGTAGAGCAGGAGGTTCCGGTCTGGGTGGACCGGCCGCCCTGCTTGTCCTGGCTGGGGTGCGTGTACCTGTAGAGATTGCAGAGAGAACCCAGAGGCCCCTGGAGGTGCGCGGGGTGGCCCGTGGAGGGCGTCCGAGTGGGGGGGGTGTGCAGAGGGGAAGGATGACCAGGCAGGCTGCGATGAGGGCGCAGGACCCCTCTTTTCAAGCCGGATGCCGGGCGACGGGCGCTCCGACAGCCAAGCATATACATGTCCCCCACGGGAATTACTGTACGATTTTTATTTGGAAGCGCTTGCAGCCGTCGCACGGAGTGCGGAAGCAGAGAAATCCCTGCCTTCCGTGCGGGGCGCTGTGTTGGACGTGCGAGCCCGAGGCCCCTCCAGGGCCCCAGCAGACGGTCCCTGACGCTGAGATTGACTTGACACGATACCTCACGGCTCGTGCATGGAGTTTGCTCTGCTCTAAGTCCCTGAAGCCGGCCCGATGTTGGGGGAGTCCGGAATGTCCTTCGGGCGTGGCCTCCCCGCAGGGATGCAGTTCAGCTCTGGGGCGAAGTGCCTTCAGTTTCGACATGACTGCCAGTACGTTCCTCATCGGGGCAGGGATGCGTCCGAGTGTGCTGGGCAGGGGTGCGGGTGGGAACGAGGGCAGGTGGCGTATGGGCTCCGCGAGCTCCCCCGCTGCCGACCCGGGACCCTTCCCACTCATTCCTACCCGCAGGAACCTGGGCTGCTCCAACCTCAACTGCCCGCTGTGCAAGACTTGCCAGCGTCGGAGGTGCGAGCAGAACTTCGCCTCCAAGTACCTCGCACCCTGCGACGTGCTGGAGGCCAAGTGCGGTGCCCAGATCTACGTTGTGGTCGTGGACGCGATGACCGGCCAGCTGGTGCACCCCGACATCGACGACCCTCACCTCCAGGTGGGGCCGCTCCGGGGGTCGGGTTTCCGGCGAACCGGGCATGGGGAGGGGGTGTGGGAGCCCTGTGCTGCCCCTCCTTTCTTCTCCACCCGCAACGAGTCCCCAGACGCCACGCTGCTCCCTGCTGAGTGCACGCACTCGTGCCTGGCGTGGGTGTGACCTCTGGCCTGGGGCGCAGGGCAGGGCAGGCCGGCAGCCCGCCACCGTCGCACCCGCCGTGCCTCCCCGCCGGTGCCCCTCGCCCTCCTCGCCTCCTCCGGGCCCCTGTCATCAACGCATACGCACATGCCCCCCCTCCCCCCCCCCGGGCACACACCCAGATCTGCATCGTGGACGGGCGTCGGTTCGAGCAGGAGGGGGAGCGGGAGGAGGCGCTGGAATCGTGCATGCTGCTGGTGAACAAGCAGGGCCAGCCGCTGCTGTCGCACGGCCGCTCTGGCACCTTCACCGATGAGAAGCGCATCATGGTCCCCCTCATCCTGGGCCAGGCCATGCTGCCCGACCTGAAGGTCACCGACTCAAGCGAGGCGCTGCTGCTGGGGCGCGCGCCGCCCTTCCGCCTGCTGGTGCGCCTGGCGGACCGGCTGGGGCACCCCTGCCCCGGGGTCAAGCACGCGCTGTCGGAGCCGTTCGTAGTGGCCACCGCGCGCGTCAAGGGCGCGGCCAAGGCCGACATCCCGCACGTGGACGACCACGTGAGCAAGATCGAGTGCGTGGGCGTGCAGACGCAGCGCAAGCTGGAGGACATCGCCGCGGCGGGCGCGGCGGCGGGGGTGGCGGACCTGCGCGTGCCCGTGAACTGCGTCACGCGCGTGGGCCAGTTCCGGGAGCTGGTGGAGCTGGCGGAGGGGAACAAGCCGCTGCGCGAGACGCTGAAGCAGGTGCTGCGCCTGACCAAGGGCTGGGACGTGGCGCGCGACCACGTGCGGCGCTGCGTGGACACCGACGAGCGCCTGCGCGTCTTCCACCCCGACGGCCGCACCGACGTGGGGCTGGCCTTCCGCTGCGCCGCGCACAACGTGGTGGACCTCAACCGCCCGCTGGGCCTGCTGCGCCGGCGCCAGAACCCGGCCCAGCCCAACCAGGAGATGGTGGACGTCATCTGGCTGCCCCAGGACGCCGCCGCCTTCCCCGAGGCGGTGCGCCGCCTGCTGCCCCAGGCCTTCAGCGCCTGGTGGCGCGAGGGGCACCCGGGCTGGGCGCTGCTGCCGCTGACCACCAGCGCGCATGCGCCGCGCTGGGACGAGGCGGGGCGCCCCGCCACCGCCACCGCCTCCTTCACCTTCACCATCCGCAACGCGGCCGCCGCGGCCGCGGGCGGCATGCGCCTGCTGCCGGGCGTCGCCGCCGCCGCGGCGGGCGCCGCCGGCGGCGCGGGGACGGGCGGCGCGGAGCGCCCTGCCGTGTCGCGC